AACATTAGGAATATGTTCACTGTGTGCCATGTAAGAAAATAAGTATTACATACATGAAAAAATTTACCATATTATTTACACAAAAATACAGGGAAAAAAACAAACATTCCTAGGTTTATTTTCTGTGTTTTCCAAAATATCAAAATTTTTATTAATAACTCTGCATTTGCATTACCTCACCTCTAAAATTGAAGACACTCAGCAAAGAATTAATTAACGAAGCCTTAAACATTTTGAAACGGTAATGATCAGAAAGTGTTACAGACTGATATGAGGTGTAGTTGATAAAGCTTCTTAAAATTACAGGGTATCGTTAAAGTTCTGCTATCTCTCACAAAAAGTGGAGGAGAAAAAACACTATAGAGCAAACAGGAATGAAGATCAATATCTGGAGAAAGTGTTGTAGGGCTTCCCTCATTATAAAGAGATGTAAGATATCGTAGAACGTCTACTCTAAGGTCTTTAAAGTCTGGTTAGTTTCCTGTTGAAAATTTTAACAATGAAACAGACTTTCCTGCTGTGGATACATTGTATTTTGGTATTAATATGAAAACTCTTACATTTTCTACATTTATCAGGTTCAAACAAAAAAAAAAAACATATATATGTAAAATTCAAGGAAACATTACTTTTGATATATTTCAAAAAGATACTAATTTGGATCGCATTGTACTGTCAAAAGAAGTAATACGGATGTGAGACTTTTATTAAATGATTTTTGAGGTGATATAATTATGATTTTATTATATTTTGATATATCGGGTACAAATGTGTCAAAATTCATATTCTAAGATACAATGATTTAACATTTAATAGGTATGATTGCTTTGGTTCTTCTGATGTAACAATACTATAACATTGTTAAAGCTTGCATTGTTTAGGTAACAACACCAACTATAGATATGTGATTTTAACTACTAGGTTCAACACAATGCTGTCAGAATTTATAGAAAAATTATATCAAGTCTTGCTTTTTCCTTCACGCCTCTGCATAGAATGTAGCAGCCAACATGGTGGCATAAAAAAGGTCATTGATGTAAGGATGTAGATAAAAGTGTTCTTGTGCGATAAAGTGCTTTAACATTATATGTCAACCATGTTTTTGTAGCTATACATCATTCCAGTACCTTCATTTATGTGACAGTCCTAAATGTCATCCACAGGTTTTATTACTGCAGCAATATTCTTCTTGATTCTATAAATCAGTCAATTTTAACATGGTACTTATAAATCAGTAAATTTTAACGTGGTACTCAGTCAGAGGTATTTTATTTTCATTGAAGAAAGGATTCACAGTGTTCCCTGTTATCAGTTTCATACTGAACTTGTTTAAAATAAGATTGGAACATTTGGAACTACATAAAGTGTCTGTGACACACCAGTATATATGTTTCCATTTAATTAACCTGATAAAGCTCCAGAACATATTTAGATGCGTCATTTGACATGATTTTCATATACAGAATTTTTTGTGCCTGTTTTTAGGTCATCTGACCTGAAGGGTCAGGATGACTTATAGCTATCATGTTTTATCTGTTGTCATGCATCAAGCATACACTTTTCATTTAAATGACTTATTCTCAATAACCAAAAGGTTCAGGGTGCTGTTATTGAGGCTGTAGTATGATGGGATGAAGGGCTACCAAGTATGTTACAATGAATGACCTTGAATTACTTCCAAGGTCACAGGGGTCAAATATGTTAAAATCTTTTTAACAGCTTATTCTCAACTGCCAAAAGGTTCATGGTGCTGATATTTGGCTGGTAGCCTACTCAGATGAATGGATACCAAGTTTGTTCATATGGTTGACCCTGACCTACTTTGAAGGTCACAGGTGTCGAATGTGTAAAAGTCTATAAATGACTTCTCATCAATAACCAAAAGACCCAGGGTGCTGTAATTGGGCTAGTAGCCAGCTGGGACAAAGGGCTACACAGTTTGACACAGTGTGTCAAATATGTCAAAATCTTTAAATAACTTCTGTTCAATAACAGAAAGGCACAGGATGCTGCTTTTGGACCCGCAGCATGTTTGATAAAATTAATTACTTTGGCCCATTTTCAAGGTCACAAAGAACAAAAGCATAAAAATACTTAAATGACTTCTTCTTATTAGCCAAAAGGCCCAGAGTGCTGATAATCAGCCCATAGCATGCTGGAATGAAGGCTTACCAATTTTGTACATGTGATTTTTATTTTCTCATTCTATAGGTCACATGGGTCAAATGTGTTAACATCTTCAAACAACTTCTCATTAACAAAAAGGTCCAGACTGTTGATATTGGTTTTTTAACATAAGTGGATGAAGGGTTACTTATTTGTTCAAATAATAGACCTTGAACTTTATTCAAGATCTCTCAGGTTAAGTGAGTTGAGATCATATTTTTTGATAGGTTCAGAGTAATGGCATTTGTGTTGTAGCTTGTATAATGAATAGGATTTCAAGTTTGCAGAACATGTTTTTATGAACTATATCATTATTTAGGTCACCTGAGATCAAATTTTATGGTGACCTATTGTGATCCTGTTCGTCTGGCATCATCTGTCGTGAGTCCCTGAACATTTAACATTTTCAACTTCTTCTGGAAAACTAAGGAAACAATTATTTTGCAGAATCCTTACATTTGAGGGGGTTGGGGTTCACATTTTTGGAATTTCAAAAATCATCTTTTCAATACCACCTAAAGTATGGTAGGATCATATACCATGGAAAATTGTAAATTTCATGACACCAGTGTCTTACCTTTCCTCTTGGGGAGGGGGGAAATTTTGCAATAGTTTATGTAGTAAAATTACATTTTTAAACAGAAGTTGTTTAGTTTGTATTGGAAATAATTCAGTCTTGGTATCTGGAGACAATGTAGAGTAATAGTTTGATGGTATGCACATATTGATCCTGACTTACCCCAAGGGGCTGATGGGCAGGGCCAAAAGAGGTCAAACTCACTCAATTTTCTCAATCTTCTCGATACCCAGATATGATAGAACCTTTTAAATACTGTCCCTGGATGGAAGTCATAGCATGGGATGGCAGTTAGTGTTTGACATTTGACTTTTGCCTTGCATTTACATTGGTTGAAGTTCATGTTATCTTAAATTGTTAGAAAGATTATTCCTACGACATTCAAGAACAACAGCATGTAACTCAGGTGACCATTAAGGCTCTTGGGCCACATCTCTGTATATGTGCATTGTTTATTTGTAAATCAATAAGCAGATTCCTTATTTTGATTTATCTATTTAAATGTCACTTATCCATGTACATGTTTACTATACATCTACAATGTCAGTCACAGTTTGTATTTTAAGACTTATGTTGCTTCAATCTTTCTTGCTATAAATTTGAAATATGACTCTTTTTATATTGAATACTGAATATGCTTCCAAACCTTAAATCTTCCTCAATGCAATAATAAAAAACCTGTTTATACTGTTATAAAAAATAAACAGCTAGATATTGCAGTCTATATGATCAAGTATCTCACTGTAGTGCAAGGACATGCATTGTACATGAAATATTTTCACAATTATCAAAGTAAAAGATGACAAATTATTATGTGTTCAGTTTCTTATAACAGGTATCACCTGACCAAGATACATTGAGCAATACGCTATAATTGATTCTCCAGCTTTTTTTATCTGTTTTATGAAACACTTTACATGAATAAGATGTCACACCTGGCATAAGTTACACTGTACATTATAACTTTTTGTGGCCTTGCTTCAATGAATTTTGTTAAAATTTCCAAAGTTATTACTTCATTTATGTTAACGGATGGTAGTGAAATTTAATGGTTTTTAATATTATAACTGCAGACTACGAACCCCTAATATACACCCTTTTTTTATTTCATTCTAAAGTTACGTCTACATTATATTTCTGATGTGAATTCAGAGATGGTTTGATTAGATTTTTTATCTTGTTCTAGCAAATTGTGAATAACTTTTTGGAGAGCTTCAAATATAAAAACATATATTAATGTCACTCATGAATATTTAGAATATCCAAATTAAACAAATTAAAAAATAGTGTTTTTTAAGATTCCACTTTATAATACTAGCATTTTAATATTTCGAGGAACATTACCTTGAATATATATGTAATGTCTGATTCATGAATATGATTAAGATTTTTCCTACATTATGTCAAGTGATGCTCTCCATTAAAGCAAATGGTTTTGATGAAGGGGTAAGCCTTTGCCTAAGGGAGGAGAATATTTTTCATAAAAAACTGTAATTTCTATAAGGTGATATCTCCAATAATAAGAGATCAGTGTAAGCAGGTGTTCTTGAAAACAAGAGGTCTGTATAAACTCTGTATAGAAAGAAATAGGTGTCTTTGATAATGAGAGGTCTGCATTAAACAGGAATTTTTGATAATAAGAGTTATTGCCTTTTATTAAACATTTGTGTCCAGAGAACAATTCTAAATTTCTTGTATTTAAACTTGAAAGTCAGTGCCTACATCCCCTTAATCATAGAGTTATTGCCCTTTGCTTGGTGTATATATTGATCATGTAAAGAGGATGTGCAAAATACCAAATTCAGGGACTGCAACAGGGTTGGTGCCTTCTGTTAAAATTTAATATTGTAGCATAACGTTGCTTTCATTATTCAAGCTATGATAATGAAACTTAGTGTATGCACTGGTCATACTGAGATGATATACAATTTTCCAAATTAATTACAAAATTATTGCCCTTTGTTATAATTTTGTGTCCGATAGAGTGTTTTTGGGAAGCATTCATCAGTTTCACAATGTATTACAGAGTTATGTCCCTTTCCTCACTTTATCGTATTAATTGGTAAAATGTCCTTGAAGCACTTGTTTACACTGTACCATACAATGTTGTAATATTATGTTTTTCAAGATAATTTTGAGGTGTAGAAGAGGTTTAAATATAACAGTATCATTTATGAAAAAAATGCATTAGTAAAATAGTTTGTAATTTTACCTCTATTAGTACTAATTTAAATGCTCAATTTTCTTCTTTCACCAGTTCTGGCTATTGTATCCTGATATCACAGGGTGTTCACCAGCTGCTAGAGAGATTTCCAACCAGGAGATTCCACCTACTTACCAGCTCTGTTCTTGTACTTCTCATACTCATGGCAAAAACCTGGAACCAGAACTACACCTGGATCTCGAGGGAGTCTCTCTTCAGGTAGAGTTTTTATTTTTTCAGTCTACTGATGTGTATTTGTTTCTTTCAAGTATCCACTCCAACTTCCCGACTTAAACTGATACAGTATTTGATAATCAATCCTTCTAATATCGTTTAAAAATAATAAAGAAAGTTACAAACAAAAACTGATATAAAATTTTAAATGTTATGTAATGATCCCAGGTCTAGGAATGATTTTTATCTAAAGAAAATTTATTTTCTTGGATGTTATTTTTCAATTTCAAATTACCTTTATCTTTCAGAGAAAAAATGTTACCAAACTTTGAATTGTTGACTTTGATTTGGTGTAAAACTCATCCTCATGACACTGCTGTCAATTTTTGGTGTGACCATTGTCGAAGATTATTTGTTTTAAGAATGTTTTACTTATTAGAATAGTATTAGATAAGTTAGACAGTATACCAGTATACAATTTTTGTACCTTACAGATCAGGGGTGAAGGTTTTGCCACACAATGCCAAAGTTCATTATAATTTTGCTAATTACCTCAAAGACAAAGGGTCGCTGGCTGCTGCAACATATCACTATAAGATTGCAGTTGAGTAAGTATGAAAGGTGTAAGAAAATATTCCAGGTAACTGAAATAAGTCTTATTGTCAAATCACATTCCAGGCCACAGCAAAACCACAAAGTTATTAATAAGATTGCTTATGAAGTAGAGTTCTTGCATTTTTTCTGTATTTTAAACATTTCATAGTGACTAAATGTTTATTTTCATATATGCACATTAACATATTAAGAATGAACAGACATTGCATACACAAAAAACCATGATAATCTCATGAACCTTATTATGCTGTAATTGAATCATTAGATAACAGCAGGTTATAATTAGCCTACAGACTAGCTAATGGACAACAATATATAGTGAAAACTGACAACAAATAGTTGTGAGATTAGATGACTTTACTAATATCATAAGAAGACAATGAGAATTTTAAACCAATTTTAACCTCCTCTGCTCAAAAGGTTAACAGATTTGCATAACAGCTTAGGTGTAAGAGAGTTGTCTCCCTTCTATTAGATTGTGTATTTTGTCACAACATTTTGTAATTGTTGTATATCAGGTTGTACCCAGACAACCCTAGTGCCCACAACAATCTAGGGACACTGCTGGCCAACAAAACACAAGCTGAGTACCACTACAGACAAGCACTAGCTCTGGCTGAGGATCACAAAGGGGCTTATGTCAACCTAGGCACACTGTTATTGTAAGTGCACAATGCATACTGATGTGAGGAGAGCTTTTTGATAACCTGAACTTTAAAAATTATTTTAGAGAAATGAAAACCAAAAAAATGAAAAAGAAAAAGAAGTACATTGATGGAATAATTGCTGTGTTAATTATTTTGTATTGAAATTCTAAGGTACAAATACCATTTTTCTTGGATCTTTTATAGCAACAGAGGGGAACGAGAGCTTGGTATAAGCCTTCTGCAAAGAGCTCTTGAGCTTGATTCTAGATATGAGGAAGCTTCTGTAGCACTAGCTGGAATGATGATGGAAACCCAGAACTGGATGGAGGCTGACAGACTGTTCCAATCAGCATTGACCAATAACCCAGTGTCTGCTCAAGCCTACCATAACTATGGCACTTTTCTGTATCGTAGAGGTGAGTGCTAATCACTGATCTATTAGACAGGCTAATTGTCCAGTAGATAGATATGTATCAAACCTTGACCTTTCCATCAGCTGAATGAGTACAATTATTCATTGAGACAACACTCGGAGAAGGAAATGCTGTTGAAACGTTAGGTCAAAGTCGATAGTCATTTTGTGCAATTACTTACCTCCAAGGAGACATCTATTAACTGAATTAAAACTTTCTTAATTTCTGTTCTTTTCAGAGTGTGACATCAAATTTTAATGAACAATCATGAATGTTAATGAAAATATGTAATGCATGAAAATTCATGGACTATTCACTATCACATTCCGAAGAACAATCATGAATGATAGATTAATTTGGAAATTATTCATAAAAGAGTTCATAGAAGGTATTTGATGAATATTTATGAAAAGTTTTTCAAGAATCAAAAAAATACTAGTATTCTTAATAGTTCATGAATGATTAATTAACACTCATTAGCTCATTAACACCATCTCACACGGGCTACATTGCCATTTTATAGTCAGTGAGTTGTCAGTACCTATTTTAAGGAGTTTTTTTTAAATGGAAAACATAAAATAGCCCATGTTGTTTGTATAAACTTGTTAACTACATGTATGTATAAAATGGCATTGCCCTTCTGGTGATTAATTAATATTTGAAATATGATGGGGATATTTTCACTGTCCACAGGAGAGGAGACAAGGGCCTTAGAGTTTTATCAACGAGCCGTGGATGTGGACCCAACCCACACAGTATCAATTATTGATGCTGCCCGATGTCTGAAGAACCAGGGCAAACTTGTCCAGGCAGAGACCCATCTCATAGAGTGAGTTTGTTATAGTTTGCTGGTTTGGCTTATAGGGAATTATAAGATTATATTTCAGTTGAGTGCAATGGCAACAAAAAGTACAACATGTTTCTAACAGCGCATTTCCCTTACTTGGCACACAGATGGTAAGGAAGTCTAATGGTTCCGTCTATCAGCAGACAAAAGATGGATCATTTCCATTCGTAGTATAGTAAAATGTATTTTGCTTTCAGACAACTTCTTCTTAATAGCAAAGAAGCTTAGAATCATGGTGTTTGCTTGGAAACTTCACTGAATGAAGCATGACAAATTAAAAAAAGTAAAATGAATTACCTTAATTCATATTCAGGATCACAAGTGTCCAAATTTGTTAAAACCTTCAAACAACATTATCAGATTGATCAAAAGGCCTAGAATCCTGAGATTTGGCTGACAAAAAGCCCTTTATAGGAAAAAACAAATTATATGACACATGTTCATGGTTAAGGGTCAGATTTGTGAAAATCTTCAGCCAACTTATTTTGATTAACTAAAATGCCTGATAAATCTTGCAAAAAGAAATTACCTGTGTAGTCATTCCAGGTCACATTAATCAAATTTGTTTAAAACTTCAAACATTTTGTTCTGATTAACCAAAGGACCAGAATCATGATATTTAACTGGAAGGTTCCCTGGATGAAGCTGCAAATTTGCCAAGACATAGCCTTTTATCATATTCAAGGTCACAAGAGTCAATTTTGTGTATCGTCTTTGAATGTTAATGATGTGAATTGTTGATATATTTAGTGAAAAACATTGAATACCAGGTGAGCAACACAGGCCCATTATGTCTTTTGTATATCTTATTTTCAGGTTTAGGTAAGTTTGCAATTTTATCCTTTCCTAGAAAATAGAAAAATGTAAACCATTTTGATAAAAAAAACCCTACAGTACATTATGTAATGTTAGAGGACAGAATATAGGAAATGATAGAACAACACCTGAATACAATAAGTCAAAAGTATTAGATAAAACAAGTGTTTGTTTTATTTTTTTGACAGTAGATAGTCATACAGTAGTATTGACAATGCTTCCTGAGAACTGAAACAATCTTTAAGAATGTAACCCGGGTAAAATAGTAGCCGCAATATACCACTTAGCTAGAGAGAACTTTTCTTTAGTTCAATTGGTTGAGCGACAGACTAGTAAGCCAGGGGTCCCAGGTTCGATTCCTGGTGGAGGCGTCGAGATGAAAAATTACCTTTGTTACAAGAACATGACATGAAAGTTAATGACCATTATATGTTTTTTCATTCTTGAATACTTGCTTAACAGTACAGCTGTACAGACAATTTGGTATCGGTGTGTTTTAGGGCCCTCAAACTGAAGAAAGAGGATTCTACTGTGGACATGCTAGGGGTGATTTACTTTGAGATGGGACGTAGCAGAGAGGCAATACATCTGTACGAGGGCATTTTGAAGGACAGTCCAAACAATACTGATATCCTCTTTCATTATGTAAGGATCAGTTTTAGTTAAAGTTACAAGCAATGATTGATATTTATGCAGATAAATAGACTTGCTTGCTTGAAAAGTTTCTGTCACATTGTGCTTTTAATCAAACCTTTATTTATGATTTAATTTCTTTTTAAACTATTAGCTTGTTTTAATCATTCTCTGACGGACGTTGACAGCATCACCCAGGGAAGAATGGGCTTATTCCATGGTTAACAGTTTGCTTACATGATTTTGTCTAGATTTTAACACTTGTTATTTACTGTTTGGAATAGATCTTTAAGTTAGATCATTCAAAACATGTTTACCAATCAACAGTCACAGGTGCTAGCGAAGAATTTGGAGTTTGGGAAATCTGAGGCTGCTCTAAACCAAGCTATACGCCTGTCTCCCAACAGTATAGAGATTCTTACACAGATGTCAAAGATCCTTGGACAGCAGGCGAGGCACAAGGAAGTAAGTATGTCTTAAACAGTTTGGCCAGCCCAGATTAGTCAAAGATCCTTGGACAGCAGGCTAGGCACAAGGAAGTAAGTATGTCTTAAACAGTTTGGCCAGCCCAGATTAGTCAAAGATCCTTGAACAGCAGGCGAGGCACAAGGAAGTAAGTATGTCTTAAAGAGTTTAGCCAGCCCAGATTAGTCAAAGATCCTTGGACAGCAGGCTAGGCACAAGGACGTAAGTATGTCTTAAACAGTTTGGCCAGCCCAGATTAGTCAAAGATCCTTGAACAGCAGGCTAGGCACAAGGAAGTAAGTATGTCTTAAAGAGTTTAGCCAGCCCAGATTAGTCAAAGATCCTTGGACAGCAGGCTAGGCACAAGGAAGTAAGTATATCTTAAAGAGTTTGGCCAGCCCAGATTACAGGTCACTTAATGTCACAGATCATTTTCCTTTGTAGGTTATTGACTCACCTACTTTTGAATCAGTTCAAGGTCACTAGCCCAGGTTACAGGTCACTTTAGCACAGATCTCAAGGTCACTTTTCTGTGTAGGTCATTAACTCAATTTCCCTGTGAACTAGGTCAATGTTAATCACTCATATTACTGGAAAATGTAGGTCACAGATGGATTTCCTGTGTAAGTCAATGGGCCACTCCCTTAGCTTATCGGTAATTGTATGTAGAGAAATTGATTCATCAAATAAAACAAGGTAGAAGTTGGGAGTGTGGGAATCCCATTCACAATATAAACATTACATAACTTTTATAAATTAACTTAAAGGTAAGAAAAGTGTAGGATGACTGTCACATTTAGCCAGTTTAGATGTACTGTTCAAACCTGGTGTGAATCAAATGAAAAAACAGAAAAGCAAGTTCACTTTGCATACATTTTAAATGTATAATAGGTAACTCTATGTCATATAGGTGAAAGATAAATAGCAAATTATGTTCAGAATGCATAGGAAACTGGCTTCTGTTATGTTACGGAACAGAATACACTTTCATGAATATAATTATTCACATTAATTGTGCTACCCTGAAACTTACTGATTCACACACCAGATCAGGAATCAGTGGACATTTAACAACAAATATTGTTTATAAAATGTAAGCTTATTAAGTTCTATATTTATTGTTTACTATAATGTAGAAGACTTTGTTCTATATGATGTTTCTAATGCTTACAAGTAATGTCATTGTTATCCACAGGCGTTACCCTATCTAGACCATGCAGTCACCGTAGCCCAGAGGACCAATGATAGACAAGCCCTGGTAGACCTCTTCAAGCAACATGGTGATCACAACAAAGACCTACAGCAATACTCTGCTGCTATTAAGGTAGGCATTGAAAGTAGAGTGTTTCATGGTAGGCAATGACACCAGGATGTGTCAAGATAGGCAGTGACACGAGGGTATGTCAATGTAGGCAATGACACCAGGATGTGTCAAGATAGGCAGTGACACTAGGGTATGTCAATGTAGGCAATGATACCAGGGCGTATCAAGTTAGGCAGTGACACAAGGGTATGTCAACAGTAGGCAATGACACCAGGGTGTATCAAGGTATGTCAATGTAGGCAGTGACACAAGTCTGTGTCAAGATAGGCAGTGACACCAGGATGTGTCAAGATAGGCAGTGACACTAGGGTATGTCAATGTAGGCAATGATACCAGGGTGTGTCAAGATAGGCAGTGACACTAGGGTATGTCAATGTAGGCAATGATACCAGGGCGTATCAAGTTAGGCAGTGACACAAGGGTATGTCAACTGTAGGCAATGACACTAGGGTGTATCAAGGTATGTCAATGTAGGCAGTGACACAAGTCTGTGTCAAGATAGGCAGTGACACCAGGATGTGTCAAGATAGGCATCGACACCAAGGTTTATCAGGGTAGGTATTGACACAAGGGTATGTTAATGTAGGCAGCAACACCAGGATGTGTCGTGATAGACAGTGACACAAGGGTTTGTCAAGATAGGCAGTAACACAGACTGCAAGGCAGGCAATGACACAATAATCTCCAGTAACAGGCCATACATTGATTGTTTAACATAAGCACCTGCATGGGATCCTTTTTCATATATTGTTTACAAAAATGGGAAACTAAAATAAAACATTTGATGTTTTATACGGCACATATGATCTCAAAATAATTGTCAAAATAAATGTAGTGATTATTCCGTGCTCAACAGATATCAGACTTAAACCTTCAGTGATTAAGGTGCCTTGGTCTGTTTTCCACTGAAAATGTATCTTGTTTGTTAACAGAGTTTCAGTGAAGCCTTGAGACTAGGAGGAGACACTCCAGGAGTCCACCTCAACTTAGGAGCCTTATATCACATACTGGTAGGTACAACCAACAATTCATTAATACATTAACATTGTTAAATATCAGACTGATTGTGACCTCATTGCTATTCTAGTATATACCGATAGAATGTGAAGAAAAAGCTCAAGTGAGCACTATTATTAATAGAATGAGAACAAGTTTGATGTTCCCTTTATTATCTACATGTGTATCTGTTTTATATATGTAGCAGACTTGTGAATATATAATAAATGATTTGGTTGTTTGTTTTTATTGAAGGGAAACCATACAGAAGCCAAGCATCACTATTTACGTGTTCTTTCAATGGATCCAAGCCACAATTTAGCTAAAGAAAATCTCCTTAAGTTGGAACGCCTCCAAAGCCAGGAAAGATCACGATTGTGAGGGGAGATAATCCATGTTCAAAATTCAGATTATGGAAAAATAAGACTGTGATGATAGAAAAAAAATAAGATATTGTAGAAAGTAAAGAGTGCATGTTCTTGTTTTGATCTTATGTATCAATATTAATCCCTGTGTATACAATTATTTTTCATTCTGGTGTTTTATGATGCCATTAAGTCACATTCCTTTGATTGTATTAGGAAATAAGTTTAATTAATTTTCTTTTCAAGAAGTCTTTCTACAAATGTGTGGTGGTTTATATCTATCCTAGACCTCAGTGTTGTACAATTTGTTTTTTCTACCATTATCTCTACATACAGAGCCTCATTGCCAAAATTTCACTAAACAGGTGGTGTTTCATATGGATTACATGCATCTCCTTGTACATTTGATAGCAATGGAAAATATACTCCTTTTAGTATTCTGTTTTGTCACAATGCAGATTTATCTGCTCTTGTGTGCAGGTGTTGATCGTTACATCATTTGTTTATGTGGGTAACCTCATGAAAAAGAAATCATTTTCTCACACAAACTAATGTTAGAAAAAAAATCATACTTGCCCACAAGAGCAGATAACTCTGCATTAGATAAAGACAGAATTGCTAGCATTGTCTTTACTTGCCACTTTATTGTAGCTCAATTAGTCAGTGAAGTATAGAGAAATGTATGCAGTTGTAGGCCATTCTTGTCATATTCCTCATGTCTCAATACAATGTATTGTTTGTTATATTATCTGTTTTCTCATTACATTGCTGTTTGCTGAAGTAGATGTATTAGGGATGCATGTAAACTCTTTATGTAAGTTGGTAAATGATGTCTACTTTATTATTTTTAGAATGAAGTAAGATATGTTTATTTTTTTCTTAATTATGTAAGTCAGATCTGGTTTATATTGTATCAATGTATATTTTCCTTATTGTTTGATAATAATTCTTATATATGTGTGTCTCTTGATAAGATGCATCAGTGTATGTTATTTCATATGCCTATCAAATATGTTTATTGTTCTGGCTTCATATATTGCAAACTTTCATTTGTGAGGAAATATCCTCTGAAAGATTTCAACAAATCATCTTTAAACATGGCAGGCTTTATAACCAAGACATGAAGTGAATGTTTCACATGGACAATATTTGAAGGCATTGTAGCCCTTTGTGCATGTTGTAATAATCTTGCCTAGGACCCCCCTCCTTTAGTTTTAAACTGTTTTTCCTGAATTGTATTTTAGTCCCACAACTTTTTATTAAAAAAGAGAATCTGTATCTTCATCTTGTCTGGAGATCTCGTGTCCCAGTTTTTAACCAATCCCTTTGGAAGTTGGTATGCTTTATCAGCCAATTTCTTTTAAACTAAACTGTAGTTTTGATTAGTAATGCTTTTTCAATGGCACTTTGGATATTTTGGTAACATATTCATATTCTCATGCATTTCAGTACAATAATGTATCTCACTTTGTTATAGACTGATATTGTTTTGCCAATGTCCCTCTTGTTACACTTGGACAAATATCTTCAACCTCTACAGTTCTTTTTTAGTTTTTTTTTCATACAAACTTGATTATTTTTATAGTTATTCATTACAACATCGAAGAGCCTGCCTCTGGCTATCTAGGTTTAGATTCACATGCAGTTATTCATACAATTGTACCACGAATATCATAAATATTTTTAAAATTTCAGTTTATTAAACAATATTCATGCAGGCTGTGAAAATCTGCTCCATCCATTTATATCGTGTTAAAATATGCTGTAATGAGATATACATATTGTCAACTTGATACTCGCATGTTCTTTAACGTCATAACATATTTCCCGTAATGAGATATATGTTCTTTAATGTCATAACATATTTCCCGTATTGAAATTCACTTGACTATTGGATGTAAAACTGATCATGTGATACATGTTTTTCGTGAGATAGTTTAAAGGCCAGTAACAGAAAGCTTTAATAAAGAAAATATTGTGAACGGAATATTTTTCATTACTGTGTATGTGGAAACTTTTGCCACAGTGTATCTTTTGCCTAGCTGTTTTAACCTCTTTGCAAATAGGGCAAAAAATGAAAATCAGTTTAAAAAAGTTATAATGTTAAGGTTGAAGAATTTATTTTAAGATGATTTTATTTCTATGCAAAAATGAAACTTTATCACCGGGCAATGAAAAAAAATCCAAACAAACAAGCAAACAAAACCAAAACCCCACTAAAAGCATTAAAACAAAAAAGGGCAAATGTTTCTTCATATACAGTATCAAACTGAATATTTCTGTTTTATTTTAAAATGTCAATTCCATATTCATAATCATAATTGATTATACAAGTGTTTCCCCATGTGGAAAAAGTGATTAGCATTATTTGATAATTTAGTGTAAAAATTGAATGCAAAACATTTGTACAAATCACGTTCTTCCTACTATCAGTGTTTTGTTATTTGTAAATGAGTGTATATAGAAATGATTCCGATAGGTGCTTTAATTCATCTCTAGTCAATATATTTCAATCATATTATATCTACATGATGTATATTAATTTTATGTATGTTAGTATTTCATAATTTGTAATATACGAAAAAAAAAATCATTTTATCAGAGTGTGAAAGTTTGTATTCTGTTGAGTACAAAAATGAATGGACCAAAAGTATAGTAGGCCATGTTTAATAAAGCTCCAAAGTTAAAATCTTCAGAACGAACATTTCATTCAATAAGACGTGTATTATTTTGTGTTCATAGAAATTAATTGATATGTTTTCCTATGGTTTGCAAACTGTAAATTTTGTGTATAGCAACCTGTAGGAAAATCAGTTGTTAAATCTACTGTGTGCAAGGAGACCTCAGAGACTGTGTGTTATGGAATCTAAAAATCAGCAGTTAATTAACAATTAAATCTGAAACAGGGCAATGTATTCCAGTTAGTTGCATAATTAGGTACTAACATGTTTTATTTCTGGCTATGGGACATGAAGCAAATTGAAGTTTTTACTTAACCAATCACACAAATTGACATCTCTTTGATTATTTGATCAATATTATTGGTGATTGGCAAGGCATGCAGTATTTCATGATAACTAATCCAAGACTAGAGATATTTGGTCACAGCATAATAATTAATCTCAGGTATGACATTTTGGTAATTTTTATCACGTCACAAATATTGATCCTTGCATGTATGGCATAGGAACAGGTTCCAAACTAGACATATTAAGTTTTTGTTTTCACAGCCTGGTGATTGATCCCAGGCAAAACATATCAGGTTTGTTTGAATATGGCACAGAGATTGATCCCAGGCTAGACATATTATGTATGTTTGATCATAGCATGGGTGTTGACCTCAGGTTAGGCATATTCAGGTATGTTTGATCATGGCATAGAGATTTATCTCTGGCTAGGCATACATGTACTATGCAACCATTGATACATTTATGTCATAGACTTACTTATGGTTACCCTAGATATTTGTATGTCAAAGATTAGCTAGGCTACCTTTGATGTTTGTATGTCAGTGACTTACTAGGCCAGCCTAGATAGTTGTGTGTCAAAGACTAAATATAGGCTACCCTTGATGTTTGTTTGTCAAAGACTAAATAGGCTACCCTTGACGTTTGTGTGTCAAAGACTAAATAGACTACCCTTGATGTTTGTTTGTCAAAGACTAAATAGGCTACCCTTGACGTTTGTGTGTCAAAGACTAAATAGGCTACCCTTGATGTTTGTTTGTCAAAGACTAAATAGGCTACCCTTGATGTTTGTATGTCAAAAAACTTCTCTTTAGCTCGATTGGTTGAGCATCAGACTAGTAAGCCAAGGGTCCAAGGTTCGATTCCTAGCAGAGGCATAGAAATAAATAATGACCTCTGTTACATTTGTATGCCAGAGATTTGCTTAAAACTACCCTAGATGTTTGTATGTCACAGATTAACTAGGCTACCCTAGATATATGTATGTCACAGATTAACTAGGCTATCCTAGATACATGTATGTCACTGACTTACTTAGGGTTACCATAAATACATGTATGTCACTGACTTACTTAGGGTTACCATAAATACATGTATGTCACTGACTTACTTAGGGTTACCATAGATATTTGTATGTCAATGACTTACTTACGGTTACCATAGATACATGTATGTCACTGACTTACTTAGGGTTACCATAGATATTTGTATGTCAATGACTTACTTACGGTTACCATAGATACATGTATGTCACTGACTTACTTAGGGTTACCATAGATATTTGTATGTTTTGCAGACTGTCTAGGCTACCCTAGATAATTAAGTATTATTAATACATATGTACCTGTATGTAAAAAATGTATAGTCTTCTCTAGATATTTGAGATGATTTGTTAAGAAAATGGAGTTGTAAATTCAAATATCAGTTGATATTAAATCGAATTTTGCCAAATGAATATGTTAATTGTTACCAAAACCTGCACATATCAGCTGTTTATCATATATCTTATTTGCCTTTTGAATAAAATAAAACAGTTTCAGAAAATTATATGATGAATTATTTATCAAAATTATTTGAAGTGTGAACTGTTATTGGTACTGTACTTGAAATTTGACTTCATGACACAAACTTGACTTAAGCACTCAAAATTACCTTATCAATGAATTGCCATTATGACCTTGACTTTTCACCATATGACTCTGATCTTAAAATCAAGGTCATATTGATCTCAACTATGGCTTTGATACCTTCTTTATTATCAATACTGTCAGCATCAATATTGAACAACTGTGATCTTGACATGGTGAAATAGACAAAAGTACCAACCAGTACACAGATTTTAAGATATACCAAAGCTTTTGAGAAAAATAGTGATAATTGACCCTGCAATCAAAGACAGTCACTTTGAAGTCATATTAACACACCTACAAACTAAAAGATTGTTAAGCAATGAAATCTGCTACAGATGTTGTGTGACAAATTATATCTTTCTTTAAAAACACCAGCAACAGAGGTGCAGAGAGTAAAAGTGATTAAAATCCCTGGAGTATCGAGGATGATATGACATCTGAATTAATATTTTTACAATGATTTGAAGGAATTTCAGAAATATATTTTGGACTTCAAGTGAGATATTATTTTCAATGTCAACATTTAAGTGAAGTTAAACATTATTTGTGTTGAACACTGTGCAGGTTTCATGCATGAAAATAGTTTCAGAAATACCTGCCCTGGAATCAAAATAAAAACTGGAAAGCGAAAATATTTTCATTAGAGACAGTTTAATGCAATAATTGTAAACAATTATATAAAGAATGTATACAGCCAGTGAAATGTCTGTGCAGGTAAATTATACCCCTCATTGCTGAGATAAAACCTTCATGTTTACATTTAATGGTTATGTAGATTATTTATCACTGCAGAATTCACCTTTCCATATGAACAGAAGGTTGCGTATACAAACATATGTTTTTCCTGCTTAATCTGTGAAGGACATAGCTGCTGGGTCATTCATATCTGTATACACTGGAGTCCAAAGAGATATCAGAACTGCCCTTTGCCCAAGAAATAAAAACAATGAGCTACTGTGATAAGCTTTCCTGTATCTTTCAGAAGAAGTCAACTGTCATTCTGTCTACAATTTCCTGGTCACCAATCATCTGTAAAACAAAGCATAGAGGCATCAAATCACCGATAAACTAGGGTTTAATACAACAGAATTGTGACAGTTTCTACAATTACTACATATTGATATTACACTCCAAATGTTTGAGATAAATATCCAGAGGGTGATAGGTTCGTAGAACATGAAACTGATTTAACTGGCCAGGCTTTAAATTATGTCACATAATATAAACCAGAGGCCTAGCGACCTTGATGGTCACCCGAGATAAGCAATATTGAATATAAAGGTTAAATATAGTTATCAAGTGTCATGAAACATAAATTGTGACATTGAATAAAGTAAGCCAGTGTCAATACATGCATACACCAAAACTGTCATTCTATTCTGATAATTCTTATAAAGTTATTTCCTGTGGGAAATAACCAGCGTTATGCTCAAAAATGCATTTTTTCAATGAAAATTACAGTAAAGTTTAAAAAAAAAATTCTCCCCGGGAAGAAAAGTGAAACTCATTTTGGTAATTAAAGCACCTTAGGATGCTTCCATTCATGAAGAGCATTTGATTCTAACATATCTGGGTGTTGAGAAGAAGAATTTTGAAATTTGAGTCAATTTGACCCCTTTTGGCTACTTCCATCAGCCCCCAGGGGTCAGTCACGATAAAAATGGGCATACCATCAAGTCATCATCCTTCACTCATAAATCTAACCAAGTTTGAAATATTTCCAATGGAAACTAAATAAATTATGCTCAGAAATCTAGTTTTCCCATATAATCTATAGTAAACTTTACCTCCTCCCTATGGGGAAATGTGAGACCTTGGGGCCATGAAATTCACAATTTTCCATTCATGAAGAGTATTTGATTCTACCATATCTGGGTGTTTTTGAAATCTGTGTTAATATGACCTCTTTAGCCCCACCCCTCATGCCTCTACGGGGTGGGGACTGTATAATTCAAAATTTTGGTTCATCTTAGGTCAGGCAAGGTTTCTGCGAAATTTCATTGAAATTGGATTAGGGGTTTTTGAGAAGTCAAAAGTGATAAATTGTTTACAGATGCACAATGAACAGCGCACTATGCTGGATGAAGGGTATTAGAATAGGTCACCATAAGACTTTGTCTCAGGTGACCTAAAACCACGCAGTCCACACTGAGTGAAATAATCCCATATTGACATGCAATTTGTAACATACATGGACGTTTGTGGGATTTTATATTCTAAATGGTTTTGATAAACTACTTAAAAGTTATTGAAACCTTATTACAGTGTCATGAACATTGCCAATTGGAGATTTTTCCTGGTGCAGAAAGCTGGTAGTGGAAAAATTGGATTCTGGTTTGAACTTTGCAATAAGTGTAGGGAATGAGTGCTGTGCTAGTGACATTTCATCTTCACTAAAGATATCTAGAATGGTTCCAAAATTACAACCAAAACAAGGTAGTATTAGAATAACAACAAGAATAAATACAGTACGTGTCTTCTCTAAAAAGGGAGTAACTTGGATATAAATTATGATAACTAGCCATATTTACACAAATTTAATGTTATCAATTTGGTGTGAGGATCTATGAAACAAACTTTAGATTTCTTCACTTTGAATAGTCTGAAAAAATACTTTACTTTTCTGTTTTGATGTCATTTGGGCTCTGTTACTAAAGTCCTCATAATTACATAATATTACATGGAAATGCGATATCATTTATCTTCATCATAACATATTATTTGAAAATGTTATATTTCATTATCATTTCTTGACAACAAAAACAAAATTATGACAAAGATATATTCACACAGCATTTCAATAATAAAATATTGTCAAACCTAGCTTAACAATTCATATTACAAACCTTTTCAAATTCTGGAAATGTTATCTGGCCCTTGGTTTCAAGGTCAGGGTGATTTAGAGCTTTGAATGTCAAGGCCAGAATGTGATCATCAGAGATAGCAACAGAGTAGAATAACTTGTATAGGCGGAACATTTCATCATGTGTTAAAGCTTCACCGCTGTAGATGTTGAAAAGGTCAAAGATGACTGTAAGAAAAAATAGAAAATATTAAGATGTTACATGCTGACATTGAAAAGTGGTATGGATATGAAAACCTATTGTAAAATTCTAGTAATTTAAATTTTTATGGAAATTTGAATATTCACTTCTTCCCCAATGTGTCTTTGAAGTCTCGGCATAATTATTAAAATGATTGGTTCATATGAATTAATTACCATGAGGGTAAACAGTATACACTGATGTTTCTTCCATCACTTTGAAAAGGGTTGGTCATTTGTGAAGTCAGGATGAACCTATCGATCACTTATTTTGCTTTGTAAGGATTCCTTACACATGTAAAGTCTTGAGGTCTTTTTCAGTATTAGTTTCTGTATGTTTATCCTGATTTATGACTGCAATTTTGCATTTAACTCTACACTTATATGAATATATGAAGTCCAGGTTGCCTATATAGTTAAGGGGAGATAACTATATCAACAAAGCAAAAAAACATACACTTCTTTTTTTCTCCGGGTGAAATCCGATCACTAAGTAAGGCACATACACGTAGAAAGGTTTTGGGGTAAATTTTCAGTGACCGCTTGTCTAGTAAGCTTGCAATAATTGGCGGAGCTAAATCACTTCCAGCAAACTCTACCATAGTTAACATGTTCTCGTATGATATACCATCTGTGCAGTCAGGGTCCATGTCCCTATAGCGTTTCATTAATCTTCCCAGTTGATTCTCTGTGACTGAAAAACATGGAATCACGATCAATTATTCCCCGTGTGCCTGTAAATATTATGAAATAGAGTTAAAGATTTAACTTTTCTGAGGTGGCTGTCTTGACTAGTTTTGGAAAGCTACATGTGATAAAGGTCTTCAGAGAATAGACAGCCATTTTATTTGTATCTAACACTTAATCCTCAGTGTGGACACACTACTCAATGTTTATCCTTTTTATAAGTGAGACTATCCAATTTCAATTTAAATTCCAAGACTTGATCAGAAGAAAGTGCAAATCACTTTTTGACAAATTGATACAATGAATCGAGTCATTTCCAATCATTCTTGCTGATGTATTTATATCAATGTAACAAAGGTCATTATTTATTTCAAAGCCTCTGCTAGGATTCGAACCCTGGGCCTCTGGTTTACTAGTTTGACGCTAACCAATTGAGCTGAAGAGAAATTCTTTCTAGATGAGCAGTATATTGGGCCTAGTATTTTACCAGGGTTACATTTTATGAATATTTGAAATTAGGATTGGGAAAATGTAAATAATGAATGTATGTCTCAAGAGAGATCACAAGGACATTATAAAAATTGAATTTGCTGACATGTTTCAAAGTCACTAACTGGTTGATTGATCTTATACCAACCCTGATGTTGTTGGGGCCAGTTACTTACAGGGAGTTGATGACAGCAGATCTTGGATTTCTTCCTTGCTCAAAACATCTTGCAAGTTGGAAACTTCATTTCCCTGAAAGATCATATAAATTGAACTGAGCAATTTTTTCTTATATAATTTTTTTGTTTTTGTTTTTGTTTTTGTTTTTTTTATGAGAAAAGAAACGTTTGTTGGTATTCATGGAAACAAAGCAAACATACCATGGTGAAACTTATTAAATGTATTACAAGAGAGAAGACACCAATTTTATGTTCTTCAATATTAGACATCAATAAGACATACAATACTATTTTTTGACAGTCTAATTACTGTTCCTTCAAAATCTACTCTTGGATGAAAAATAAATCTACTCTATAGTTTTCATCTCTTTTACTGACAGTTCAGTATTGTGGAACTTACCATTTTGTTCAATTTAAGACGAATTAAATTATGGTAATTGGTTAGAGTTTGTCAATCAGGGTATTTTCCTTTCTTCAAATTTCATCATTAAGTAACTGAAATCAATAACAAAACAAGCAAAATGTATTAATATTATATACAATGTATCAGTGAACAATACTTATCCTCTGATTAGTTGATTGTCCTGGGATCATATTGTAATATCTGAAACAGGTAATAATCCTAGGTAACTCAATGAATAGTACTGGAGTTATAATGTCAAAATAAATTGTCTCTTTATTGCCATAGTGACATGACCTATTTACATTTTAACTGGAAAAAAATATACAAAACATAACAAGCTAGAAAGCTGACAATGATTTTCTAAATATAGTAACAGTGACTTTGTCCTTTACCTCAGCCCAAAGACAGTGAAACTCGAACTTGTTCAAATTATTTTAATGCTTTATGTGTGTGTCAAGTTTAATGATAATCCCTCCAGGAGTGATCACTAGATGATGGACAGATGGAGAGGAAAACTATTCCCCCTCCATCCTCCCCCCCCCCCCCCCAGTTTCACTAGTAGGGGATGAAATAGCACAGTCATATAATAAAGCAGTGTCAGAATTTGAGTTTGATTGTTCCAAGAGATCACAAGGTTTTTAGCAGAAACTAATTTTCCATTTTGTAAATAGTTATCTATCACTGGGTAGTTACTTCAGGAAGGGAGAAGTGTACAAGTAGGGAGTACACTTGGTCACTTTAGCAGCCCCTACTAGAGGTGTTTTCTTAAGGCAAGCGATACAGCATCTACCTTGCAAGCGAAAAATCATAGTGTCAAGAATTAAAATCAAATTATTAATTTCCCCTTGGTCAAGCGGTAGAATGACTGGCTAGGTTATAAGCTTGAATCCAGGCAGGGTGTTTCTTATTACTCATTCATATTGCAGTTGCATGAACTAGTGATAAAACATCATAAAATGATTAAAAGATCCATCTTATATTTCACTATTAGTTTATGTTGGACTTAAGAGATACATGTAATGACTGTAAAATAAAATTATAATTTTATAAATGCTGCTGGTTAATTATGGTTATTATATAATATGGCAGAGATTCGCCAAGTTTAATACCTCACAGCTGCTGTAAAGCATTATTCTAAACATATGATTTTACATACAAAATTTCAGTGTAATCCTGATCATAATACTGGTTTGTACATGTTTATACATAATAAACTGGACTCATCTCTATTTGAAATTCTGAGCACCACGAAAGCGAAATGATGATGTTTGAAAATAACAATAAGCGCTCATAAAGAGGTAAGTTAAGTTACGTGATCATTGAAAATCAATCAAGGTATACGTTTTATTCTGAGCCGTGTTAAGTACGATACATTACCTCTACTGAGATATCAAACGTGACACGGTACGTGTAGGACCTGATTTATATCCGTTCCAATAAGGGAAATAACATTTTGTATTTAAAAATCGCTAGATCGGAGAGATATTGTATAATACATGTAAAATATCTTACAGTGATGAAAAATCGAGCTACAGCAATCGATAGAGCATGGAAACGGTTGTTTACATCTTGTGTGGTTATTCGTACCTTCAAAACTAAAGATTTCCGTTCTTTTTTTAGCCTGTCGTTTTCTTCTTTACACCAATTGTCGATGCCTATGAATTTATCATACTTATGGTTTTGTTAAATTGTAATTACTAATACTATTTTGGGAGGAAGAATGATAGTTTATTGGCAGGTAAAAACGCCATAATAGGGGATTCCCTCAACGTCAAATTAAGAAGGACTCCTCTGTGATATTTTGACGTCACTTCCTGTTAATTAACTCGCAGGTGGGTGAGGTCAGATCAAGCATAAAAACAGTGGGTGTTTTAGAAGACCTATGGACCTTTGCTGACTAACGCCAGTGAACACATGAAATAGGTGGCCGATGTACGTAAACATCGGTTATGTGGTTTTAATATGTTGAAGAGTCAACACCACAATCTGTGCGACTTGCTCAACTTCAAGTCGCGCCAACACACTCCAGTTGAACGTTGGGGACATGTTGTTAACATCTGGTGCTACAGTCATATTGCTTAGTTAAAACAATGTTTTATAATTGAGAGGAATATCTCTTTCGTGAGTTGATGGATCGATGAAACTGATCAGTGGATTATACCTCTGTCTGTACCTAGAAGATCGTCCATCATACTACAATGATTGCGTTGACAGTAGCAGTGTTTTTAATTCAGGTAAGAAGATCTGACAGGTGTCTGCAATAGATATCATATCAGACAGCTTGGCTGAGATAAAACTTACGTGGCTTACTGAAAGTGTTGTGTATATAGAATTAAGGGTTTTTTTTCGCTATCCAAACAGGAAAAAGAAACTGTTGATATTACAACATGTACAATAACGTTACAAATACAACTGTAAAACATGCCAGAGCTGAGTCATAATCAGATGTCATTTTATGCATATCATCCCAAACAACATGCAGTGAGAAGGGTGTTGCCTACAACTTACCTCAACAGGTTCACATGTATATATATAAAAATATGTAATATCAAGCCATATAAAGCAGTAGTTGGGGTCAATTATAATCACAGCTAACAAGCCAACTTGGTGGTCATCAGACAGAGTAATTGTTTGATCTATAGTTTTAATTTGTATGTATTGAACACCATTCATTATCGTATTTAATAAAACACTTTGCGAAGTTTTAAATATTCATATAAGCATCAAAATGTTTGTGTAATACATATATTATATCATTCAAGACATTTCTTTTCGAATGATAGTTTCATTTGAACCACAAGGGAATGTGGAATAAGTCAGTTACCTTTTTATCTGATACTTGAACACTACTGAAATTACTATTTAGTACAATATAAATATTTAGCAATATATTTTTTATATATGAAGTGCTCAATTTATTCCTATGTAAATGTGGATGCAAGATCCAAACTTATTTATACTTCTGACATTTGATTACAAAAGTGTCTCATTTAGAATGTATGTCTTACTACTAGCAGAAAAGTCTACCAGGTATTTGTTGGTAAACTATACTTTAATGAGTGGAATATACACCTTCAAGATTTCAACCCTAGCACACAGGTTACTTTAGACTTAAGCTTGTATTTTGTTAATTTGTGGAACTTTTTATATGGTATACATGTTTAAAACTTTTATATATAAGGTTTGTTATTTATCTAGCAAGTGTCTGTAAACATATTTGCTTCTTTATCTTTTATTTTATCTTATTTCCATGGAAAGACTTTTTTAACAGTTGTGTTCATATTCCAGACATCAGAATGGCTGTATGATTTCTCATGCATTATCTGCCGGAAAAATTGGGGAAGTTACAAGATAGAGAAGTGTATACTTAGTTCACTTGCTATCTTTTCACACAATACTGCATACCATAAGGATTATAACTGACTTGAGGCTATATACTGGTACACAACTTCCTGGTTATGACATGTCCAGTTGTGTCCAGTAATACAGACAAAGTAGAAATATAGAGATATTATCCAGCTGGGTGCCTTGGGTGTTTCTCCATTCATAGCCATGGCCTGCCATTATAGAAATTCTACTGAACTGATTACATCTTTACTTTATCTTTACTTTTGTTTAGTGGAAAATCTGTTATTTGATATTTTGATATGTGGATAACACTGAATATGAATATGGAAATTTGATGGCATACTATGACTGGACTGTCCAATAGGGCATGCTATATCTTACAATATGTCATCTCTCATGCATTAAGATATGCATGTGAAGTATAGCTACATCTTGGGCACAATTACCTACTTATCAAACTAGTGATAGAAAATTGCTTAAAACCCATAATCAATTATCAGATGAAATTTGATAGGCTTTTCAATGTAGTTAATCTATTTCATAATCAAGTGACTGATTGTTCAATATTTATAGAAAGAGGTACATTTACCATTGCAGTAATATTTTGTGTGAACTAAAAAATCAAATACATTTAAAAACTTAAATACGACTAAAGACATAAATACAAATGAAAAATAAAATACCAACCACACTTACAAAAAAATGCAAATAGAATTTGCATATGAATGAATATGATTGGCAATTGATATCTTTATTTATGAAGTAGTATGAATTTTGTTTTTGAAAAAATCAAGAAAATATTAAGGCACCAATGATTAATTATGAAAAATAAAATCAATCATGACATGAGGTGAAGTTAAATATTTAGAATATAGCTAATTAAATACAATTTTACATGACATCATCATCCCAAACTCACTTCAGCCCTAAATAATGTCTTCATCAAAAATAAATTCTGGAAGCAAAAAAGAGACAAATATTACAGACTGATTTGGTGGTGAGAATATTTTAAGTTTTGAAAAGGAACTTGTTTGTTATTTACTGAAATTATCATACCACAAACACCATAATATAATGGAGTTATTCATGTACCAGCTAGACTCCAAATTATTTATGACACATCATTGGCCCAATTAAGATAACAACAATACTAAGTGTACATGGTAAACAATCCAGATCCACTGTTATCTCTGTCAAGCCCCACCTGTAACCTTACACCCTTTTCCTGCTTCACCTGCTGTAGATGGCACTGGTTGAGAGCTATCCAGAGGAAAAACATTTACCTGAAATTATATGTTGCAGTATATATACAGTTTGATTTTTAGTAATCGTGTGTATGATGTGTGGTATGTGTTAATTTATTCTTGTGATCATGATAGCTTGAGTTAATAAGCACAAATTTGATGAAACTTGATCTGTAGTCTTTTATAGATAAGATTTGATATGAATTTGACAATTGGACTGATGGAAATGTCATTTACTGAGTTAAACAAATGGTCCTTTGCAATTTTATTTCTATTGCGCCTTGTGAACTAGGTGAAAAACTTGTGTAAATATGAACAGATTTAAATGAAACCTTGTCATTCATCCTTACATCACTAAGATCTAGGATGAGTTCAACAATGGGGCTATTGTGATAGTAATATACAGAGTTATGGTCCTTTGCAGTTGTATTACTACCAAGCATGAACACAATCACTTGGGTAAATATAAATGGATTTTGATAAAACTTGTTATGCAGCTTGGTATCATTAAGATGTCAGATAAGATCAAGCATGGAGCTGATTTGGTATAACTTGCAGCGTTATGGCTGTTTTCAGTTAAAAATTGGCTGAGATTTAAGTCACGTGACCGCTTAAGCCCATGGGCCTCATGTATCATTTTAATATGTATATCTGACTTCACTGTACCTGAGACATAAGTATGCAGGTGAATGCACTAGACATTTTGGTCTAGCCTGAATGAACTGCTAAGAGCATTTATTGCACAAGAAACGAAAGGAAGTAAATAAGACAGTCTCTGGTTGTATATATCTGTATTGAATTTCTGGTTTTGCTCAAAATTAAACCAGCACAAAATACTTACCACATTGTTGATTGAAATTAATCTGACATGTTCATCAGCCACATTTAATAAGCTGCTGGTGAAAAAAAGGCTTGTTATTTTCATTGATTTTGGCAAAACCATGTTTTATACTATATATACCATGTATACAGTATGTGTTAAGTGTTGTGATACTTAGATACCTGGTGGGTGTAGAGTGTCACTTGGATGTAGGGGATTAAGTATGGTCCATGTTTCGACCTAGGTATTTGAACAGATTGACACCCAACACCGTTTAGATGAGTGTAGGTGTAAAAGTTCACAGCTGGACATTGTAGTGGTGACCAGTTAATACATGCTGACAGAATAGAAACTCATTATTTATTGTATATAAGGCATGTACATAGTCATTTATATATCTTAATTACAAGTTATATACATGTATCAGTGTTTCCCATTATCATGTAGGAGAGTCCTAATCTTACCAATTTGGTGAAATCCAAGACTTGTTCTGCCAATTTTTAAGACCTTTGCTTTATCATGTAAAGAGAATATTGATGAGATAAACTGCACATATTTACAGTGTACATTCTCACTATTAGAATATTTACTGTTAAAGTACATGCGCTTTGAAAATTTATTTGGAGACACAAATATAGTAACATAGTACATACATGTGGTATTCACAAGACGATATACCCAGTAAACATACAAAGAAGTATCCTACAATATGCCAAGAGCACTAATTATGTTACCGTTTTCTCAATGTCAGGGGATGGGCAGACATAATAGATATATTATATGACCAAGAAAGGGCAAAAATTGGTATCAATTTTACCTCCCAGAACATTCCCTAATTAGAATGTGTTGTCCATATCACCAGGCATGGACTTTCCATGGGATTATTTCTTAGTAAAATATAAAGCAGTCTTCTTGACATTGAATAATAATTAGATAACCAAGTTCCAATGATTCTTTGAAGAAATCAAATTTACTCAGATTATGTCCAGTTATAATTTATACCTGTTCTGTTATTTGATTGACCCAGAGTACAGAAATATCTATTTATAAATATGCATACCAATATGCATGGCATTCTATTGTGATAGAAACATACTGGAACTCTCATTCTCAAACTGAAGTAGGTGTTGTCTTTTTTGTCTAGAAATAACTTCTTCAAGTGGATGGAATTGTAATGTCATGGGAGTAGTGGTTTGGACTAGCTGTTACAGGGTGACACATGCATCGTAAATCAGATTAGGAAACACTTATCACTGAATGTACCAGTGTGTCTCTACCAGACAGGGATAGACACCACTTGTATTATAGGTCTGATAATGTCCTGACAGGGACATTAGAGGTCTGACAAGGTCCCAACATGATTGCTACAGTAGCAACTTATATCAAGAGGTCAGACAATTTTGTAACAGGGACATTAGAGGTCTCACAAGGTCCACACAGGAATCACTATAGCAACAACTTGTATCAGAGGTCAGACTAATATCCTGATAGGGACATCAGAGGTCTCGCAAGGTCCACACAGGGGTCGCTATAGCAACAACTTGCATCAGAGGTCAGACAATATCCTGACAAGAACATCAGATGTCTCACAAGGTCCACACAGGGATTGCTATAGCAACAACTTGTATTAGAGGTCAGACAATATCCTGATAAGGACATCAGAGGTCTCACAAGGTCCACACAGGGATCGCTATAGCAACAACTTGTATCAGAGGTCAGACAATGTCCTGACAGGGACCTCAGAGTTCTCACAAGGTCAACACAGGGATCACTATAGCAACAACTTGTATCAGAGGTCAGACAAATATCCTGACAAGGACATCAGAGGTTTCGCAAGATCCATACAGGGGTCGCTATAGCAACAACTTGCATCAGAGGTCTGACAGTGTCCTGGCAGGGACATCATATATATATGTATATAGTAATTAGAGTTCTGACAATGTCCTAACAGATATTGCCATAACAACAACTTTTATCAGAAGTCTTACGATTCCCTGACAGGGACATTAGAGAGGTCTGGCACTGTTTTGACAGGATTGCTTTAGCAACAACTTGTATTAGAGATCAGACAATGTCCTGACAGGGAGAGCCACCTCTTGTATGAGTGGCCTGTCATTGTCCTGACATGGAGATCACAACTTGTATCATAGGTTATACAACGTCCTGACAGGAATATATCCACAACTTGTAGCAATGGTCAGAAAATGTCCTGACAAGGATATTGTCCACTTCATTTGTTTTGTGTGTCATTATGTAGGTATAAGCTGATTTGTCCTTGAGTTATTGTCCTTGAAATACATCAGAATCTGACCCAGAGGTATAATTTTTGCTTCTAACTGTAAACTCCAGTGACATGTTCTCATGATAAGGATTATGTTATATTGTGGTAAAATGTAAATCTGATAAAGGTACATCCTGTAAGATGTCAGGCTTTAGATTAGAAGTTCTTATAACACAACCAGTAGAAGAAAATCATTTGAAAAAAGACATATGTCTGCCCTACGGTGAGGAAATAATCTAACACACTTTTTCTGCAGTATCGCCAACTCCCCTTATTTTGTCAGGTCATCCTTCTCAAATCATGAAAAATCCTAGAATCACCTTACATTTCTTTATTTGAGTTCAGGATTTTAAAGTTTCAGAATCAATTTTTAGGTTACATTAAATCAAAATAATATGAAAATGTTCACATATAACATCATCTGAATACTTACAGGTGTGATCTTTAAACAGTAGAATTGATCGCCGATGTGATCTTTAAACAATAGAATTAATTATGGATGTGATCTTTAGACAATAGAATTGATTATAAGATATTTTCCTCGATGACCCTCATTGTACCTCATCACCCTTGATTTTGAAGGACTGTGATCAGATATTAGAAGACTAGAGTTTCACTAAGTGGCGTCACTATTTGGTATAGTGGCAGACACATTTCTAAATCTTAATTACTCATAGGTTTGTTAAGGAAAAATGATTTCATTTACTGAAAAACCAATACTGAAATGGAATAGAACCTCAAGTACAAAGTATGTTGAAAGGTTAATTCATATTTATTATATGCAGTATAGAGCCCATCTCACTTTGGAAAAAATTGAAATGAGTGATAATTACACACAGGAATTTTAACTGGTGTGTTCTATAATAAAGCATGATCCCTACACACCACTGTGAAGGCTGATGGTATTGTGCATGAGAAAGTCTAAGGAGGCATTGTGCTGAATCTCTTATGAACTTGAGCTATCAAGGAGGAACATTAAAGCATTAATAGACTACATCCTGTTATTTGCTCATTATAGATATGTCGTAAAGAAAACTGAAGTCTTTTTATGGCAGAAGGTTAATTATGAAGATCAGGATTGTTTTGTGAACAAATTCTTAAAATATCATGAGACAAGTGAAATGTTCCAGCTGTTGACAAATATAAACACACCTAATCCCTGTCATGACACAAATGTTTAGGGCTGTCTACTGGAACAAACTTATGTATCATTACTTTGATAATATCATAAAAATTGTTCTATAACTAGGTAATTTATGACAGAATAAAATAGATGTTATTGTTTTATATTGTTTTGTAAAAGGAGTGGGCGTGGCTTGTATATACAGTTTTAACTACGTCTCTGTCACTAAGCTAATGACTGATTAGGATATTATGCTGGAGACAAGGTTCAGTTGCTGGTCAGGTCACTCAACAGGAGTATGCATTTTCCCTGTTCTTTAACACATATATAACAAATTTCATTAATTTTTTATTTTTTTTTTCACACAACAAGTACATGTTTTTTTTTCTTTTAGGTATGTTTTATACATTCATTTAACTGTTAAGGTTAATCTTCAGTGTATACAATGAGACAGCAGATATTCACTCTGTTGGTCATGTCTCTTTAGAAAATTAACCTCAATATCATACGAGACACGCACAGCTAACTTAGGTCGTGTATGATTATAATATGTAAATATCACCCAATATCATCAGGTATATATATATATATATATATATAATCCTGTGGTCAATAAGTGTATATCTCTTGTACATGACAGTCATCCATCATTTCATACTAAAAAATAGGGATTTCTCATCATGAAGTCATTTATGACCTTGTGATGATCTGCCATTATCTTCTGGGTTAGGTTTCTTTTCAAATTTTGAATCAAAAGGCTGCTATTATTATTTAGTAACCAATCTTTACGTATATTTTATAATGCTAAAGCAATTGTCCTGCATTAGATATAATACTCCAGAGTATACCTATATTTTTACCTGGTCAGGTTATTACTTTGACTTGTGTACTACAGCTAATCAATCAGAGCTGTATTTGTCACCGGTTTTGAGAAGTAGTTTATGATAGATGAGTAATTAAGCAAGTTGGGACTCATTCAATGTTTTTAAGTCTCGATCTGTGCTAAACAAGTAAGGAAGTACATGTATATCTGTTAAGTATTGAGTTTACTAAACTTACAGACGTGAATATCATTACAGTCAGTGTGTGATAGTAAGAACCATACAGATGGATATTTTGGATGAATCTGATAATTTTATCTGATTCATTCCTTGATTGTCTTGAATGGACCATTGTCATTAATAGGTGTCTTAACTCCTCCAGAACTTCATCAACTTCCTGTCTTACTGAATAAGTCAAGAAGATAAGTAACAGATAAGTAAAAAGCACTATTGTTTTATCAAGAGTGATGGGATGTTAGTATATTTAAGCTGAAGATATCTGTTAGATAGGTATACAGTAGTACTAAATGTTTTGTTCTCAAACATCCAATCATACGTTTAGGAAGTCTTAACCTCCTTCAGCCTGATGTCTACACAGTAACACTTTTTGGTTTGATCATGATCAGTGTCGATTTCTAATGAGGTTTGAGGTGTTAGGGGTCATGTTGTGTGACTGGGGGTCGAAGGGGGGAGGGAGGGTTGTTGTCGTTGCTAATAGTAGTTTTACCTGTTTTCTTCCATATTATCATCATTTCCGAGGAAACGTTGAGTATATTTCCTCCTTTCTATCTGTGACATGTCGATGTGTCATTGATCTGTGATATATCAGTGGTTAGTCACTAGTCTTGTCCTGCGGTGCACTACAGATATTACAACGAGTTACACAGACGTGTGAGAAATGACTGGTGTTCACAATATTACCGAGACAACTTGTAATTATTGCACATAGTAAACTTATATAGGTTTGAACGTGAGATGAGAGATATATTTTGTAGTCAATTAAAATTGTTGTCATAAAACTAGTTGTCATATTTCTAGCTGTCAGTGATGAATTGTCATGTTTAAAAAAAATTACATATCCATCAAAACATTTCGACAATACATATTAAGGTATGGCATTATCTGTCCTTCTGTACAGCTGTCCATCGTAAACTTAATCAAACTTAAGAGCAAATATCAAATTTCCACTTTATTATTAGTTAAAACAGAATTTCAGTGTTCTACAGAGCTATCGCTTAGCAGATAGATTTGAATGAAACTTGACATATGTTGTCTTGACTTTAATGATATTATTGCCTTTGATGAAGGCGCTTTTGGAAGTTGTCAAATGCAAGGTCACTGGTTTCTGTAACTGGCTAAAAACAATTTACATATTGTTACTCTTTGCTATTAATATTTCAGTGCTCCTTGTTTGATGAACAAAATTAAAAAATTAAAAAAGTAATGAAACATCAAAATTTGTTTTTAACTTCAATATCTTAAATTTTATTATGTTCCCTAAGTTTGATCAGGTTCAAAAGCATGTATATATATGTGTGATTTACAAAGTTCAAGGTTGTTTTGAAACATAGCAATGCAGTGACACAGTAATCTCTGGTATATGTAGGACCAGTCGTGTCAGTGACATTTTCATACCTTAAATCATACAGCTATATCTTCTATCATTATATGTATATATGACGTTAAATGATTTGGGATCACGTTATTTTATCTGGACAGTCATCCATAAGATATCATGTATGGTTTCAATGTATTTTAATATGGTTTTTTTTATAAATGCGAAATGTGATCAGTGTTCATGTAGGTTTGTTTTCTAAATTTCTGTAGAACAAAAAACGCTTTAGGATGTGGTGACTAATCGACAGTATTAAAGATAAAAAAAAAAAAGATGAAAAAAATCAGGCACATGGTCAATGTGAAGATTTTTAATACTTGTTGTGTACCCTGATGTTTCCAGCTTGATTAATTTCATGAGAATTTCCCAAAATACTCACAAGAAAGTTAAGAAGGGTGTTCCTGAAACTGTTAATGTTGTTTAACAGTCTTTTGGCCTATATGTTGTCATTTTAAAAACAGAAATAGAATACCAACGTTAGGGAGGATTTGATAACACACTTAGCAACAGGTGGAAACAACTTGAAGTTTCTAAAATAAAAGTTTTGTCTGTACCGGTGTTACCTTGGTACTGTGATAAGAATCCCAGCAACAGATGCTCTAAACTGAATTAATTGTTAAGTAGACTGACAGCGATCTACATTATAGGTATATACACCTGTAGGTGGAGTTAGTCATTTGTACAATATTGTTTTACCAGTAATTATTTCTATATACAGCACCAAGTACACTGTAAAAGATCAGCTTTGATTTCACCAGCAGTTTTTGTATGTTTTAAGTCTAATTATGAATGGATTAAAGTAATTGTATTTGATTTATTCATTCAGATACTTAGTCATTAAGTAGGAAGCATATTGTTTCTTTCAAAATAGTTACAGGTACATTGCTTGAGTGTTATGGACTCAGATTCTCAATATTATTATCCTACAATATATGTGTATATTGATGTAAAGAGTCCTAAACATACTGATATACCAGGTATAATGCTTAATTATCATGTGGTAAAGTTTGCATAATTAAGATAATGAAAGGATCTTAAATTAGGATACCCTCATTATTGATAAATATTTAGCTTCTGTCAGTTACATCACCTCTCTTGTCTAATTATCATTCTCTCTTCAGACACGTTTATGTTATATGATATATGTTATCAATATCCTCTTATTTTCATCCAACTTCAGACACTACTTATCAGAGCACAGATACAAGCAGTAAACATTACACCTGCAGAATACTCCTTAGACCTCACCTGGACAGCAAGTGACGTGGATAACAATTACACTGTTGGCTATGGATTGCCAGGAAATATCTCCTACAAGGATGTTGACCGATCTTCAGGGTCAGCTGTGGTCACTTACACCATCACTGACCTTCAACCTGGGGTCACCTATCAAATTGACATAAGACATGATGGCACATCCATTTATAATGCCAGTCATACAACAAGTAAACATGTTTTTATCAGTTTGTGTTTCAATCTGAAATTGTTCCTTTTTATACAGTGCTGATAGTGTAAGTTTATTTCAAACAGAAAACTACAGAGTAATAACTAACACTATACAGAAATGAAACTTATTTCCAAGCTTGTTAAAGTTCTACGGCAAGTGATTTCACTTATATAAAAGATTGAAATGTTCCCTTCTGGAACGACCTACAAGTATTTACTGCTATAAATAATTGTACCTTTCAGAACCCCTCCCTCCCAGCAATATCAGTGTGGATGAAGCTGGCACTGAGAACTTGTACATCTCCTGGACACCTGATGCGGACAGTGTACAGGACTCCTATCGTGTCTACCTGACGGGAATCACTAATTTCTCTGAGGTGTACGAGTCAGAACTCCTCACAGTACTGTCTCACAATATCACAGGAGTCTACCCTGGCCATGTTTATACTATCACTGTTGTCTCCTCAAGTCAAGGGGTTCTCAGTAACTTCTCCACAATTGTTGATGATAATACAGGTAATATTCAGACATTCAATCATGTTAATTCTGGTTTTATAAAATAACCTTTCTGTGTGAATTCTGAACAGAAAATAAACTTTTGAAGTCTAAGTTTGTTTCAAAACTCAGAATATTAATCAATGCTAAAGGTAAATTCTTCAAAAATCAGCCATGACAGCCATACAACCTGTCTGCTAGCAATTTATTTTAGAAATTGTACTCAGATGTATGAGTGAAATCCTGGAACATTTACATATATTTAGGATCAAGATAAGTATATTACTGCTTCAGCATCCATTGTTATTATGACTTTTTGTTACTATGTTGTGTGAAAACATCCATGTAACTGAAGTTTTTTTTTTGTTCAGTACCGCTGTCCCCCGTCATACAGAGCGTAGTGGCACTGGATAACAGTAGTATCATGATGTCCTGGGTTACTGAAATCCACAGCACACAGGTAGGTCACAAGGTTTACAGCTGAAATATATCACACAGGTACACAGCACACAGGTAGGTCTCAAGGTTTACAGCTGAAATATATCACACAGATACACAGCACACATGTAGGTCACAAGGTTTACAGCTGAAATATATCACACAGGTACACAGCACTCAGGTAGTTCACAAGGTTTACAGCTGAAATATATCACACAGGTACACAGCACTCAGGTAGTTCACAAGGTTTACAGGTGAAATATATCACACAGATACACAGCACACAGGTAGGTCACAAGGTTTACAGCTGAAATATATCACACAGGTACACAGCACACAGGTAGGTCTCAAGGTTTACAGCTGAAATATATCACACAGATACACAGCACACATGTAGGTCACAAGGTTTACAGCTGAAATATATCACACAGGTACACAGCACTCAGGTAGTTCACAAGGCTTACAGCTGAAATATATCACACAGGTACACAGCACTCAGGTAGTTCACAAGGTTTACAGGTGAAATATATCACACAGGTACAGCATACAGGCAGTTCATAAGGTTAATGTGACACACAAGTTCACACCACTGGTATAGATCATATATATGACTACATAATTGGCAATAACCCTCTGTTGTTTTTAACAGCTGGCACTACTTTATAAATTTGCTCTGATGTAATAAGAGAATGCTGTCATTGTGTTACCATCATTAAAACATCATAACTGTGTTTATTTCTATTGATATGATATTTATTCTCCCCGCTTTTTGACAGGATCATGAGATCTTCACAGCAACCTACAACACCTCCTTTGGTTTGTCAGAGGAAGTTAACCTTACATGTAAGGTCAAACTATGGTCTAGCTGTGTTGCAGACGTGCCTGGTATCCCTGGTCAAACTTTACTCCTGAAAGTTTTTGCTGTCAAAGGAGCAAGGAGTAGTGCACCAGATTCAGCCTATCACAGCACAAGTATGCTGATATTCATATTCCTATGATTTTATAGAAGGCACTATACTTTTAATAGCTTTTCTGTCTTCATCAGTTGCTTCATTTAAGGGATAATCCTGTTTTGGTTTGAAATGTATATCCAGATAACAGCATCGCAAATTTGGTTTTACTGGTAATGGTAACAGAACAGAGAGAGTAAAATGGATTTTTATGGCAGTGCAATCATGGTATAGCAACACAAATTTCTAAACACAGAATTGTTATCTCTAATCTAATTCATGTAAGTTTAAAAAGCAAAAACATGGTAATTTGGTGCCATTTTGTGCATCATTTCCTTAATCGGGGTTATCCTGTTCAGCATTTGTGATGCCAGTAAAAATTAGAATTGGTTTATTTCTCAGGTCATGTAATTGTTTCTGACCAGAGTCATTGTTAATTGCCATCTGGGCTAGATATGTAAATGAGAAAAATGTGGACAATATATCATGGTCATATGATCACATATTAATTTCCTTGACCAACCAAATATTGCCTTTCATCTTGAATGAATTAGAATGCAAAATGGCCGAATGTTATATCAAACTATCTATATTTCAAGATATGAATATATTGGGTTTTTGTGAGCCATATCTCAAAAGCAGTATTACTGAATTTTCTTGCAAATACATATGAATGTATCTTGTGAGGAGTTGGGTATTTTTACGTTTTACAGAGCCTGATCCGTTAAGAGATATTATAGAGCTGGACAGCACCCCATCAGACCTTTACCTACAATTGGTACCTCCGACAACCTCCAGCTATCAAAACTTCATCTTCAGTATCATCATTGACAGCGTTTTATTCTACAACTTTAGTGTCCCTCCATCGGAAACGAATGTCACTCTCCAGAATCTTACTGGAGGCACAGCGTACAATATTTCAGCCACAGTGGCATCCCAGTGGGAGGAGAGTATCTCATTCTCTGATATGTTCTACACAGGTAAGTACAATAAACATTAAACTATATTAGCTCAGGAGATTTATTTTACATCCAACATATATATACATTTCACATTTGTTTTGGAATGGTCTGAAGTTTGAAAATATCATTTAAATCCATTTATTTATTTTCATAAGACCCTTACCCTCCTGGGCCAATAGAAATCTCCCCAGCAGGAATCACTCACACCTCCCTCAAGGTCCTGTGGGAGGACGTCATCAGTGGTAGTGTGGGTTATTACGAGGTCAGCATTTTCCCGAAGGAACCTCAGACAATATCACCTGTGTAAGTGGATAAGCTCAACATTACAGACGGGGCAGAGATCAGGGGCTATACAGTCCACATATTGGTATTACAATGTATAAAAGCTTAATGGACCAAAAAAAATTTAATTATATGTCTTCTTTATATTTCATAAGCCACGAACCTCTGTATGTGTATCAACTGAAAAGAAATATGTTTAAACAAGTGTTGACATGAGGAAGTTGTCCCAATTCTTGGACAAGTTGTGACATAACAAATTAAAAAATATCAGTTTAACTGGTGTAAACAATGTATCATCCTCCTTCAAGTCTTGTAAGCTAATTCTAAAGTTAATGTCCGGGGATTTTTAAGACTTACTGTAGGTATTTTCAAGGTGTTATGGTGCAAATGAGACACCTAGATAAAATTATGTGAATGTTTGATATTTTCTCTATTTCAGTATGGACTATACTGTAAATCAGCGCACTGCTCATTTTGAGAAATTGGTGGCTGGAAAGATGTACACTGTAACTGTTGTGTCAGGAGTTGGACAGAAAAAAAGCAACCCAACTGAAAAAGTGGTTTGGACACGTAAGGAATTTATAAATAGAACACTTTACGTGAAAAATGAAAATGCTACAATTTTGTTTACCAATTTGAAGAAAAATCCAAATAAGTAATTATTTTAAAAGAAGAATTTTGTTTTGTACAGATTAAAGGGTACTGTAAACTTTATTATCAATTTCTTATTCACCACAAATTATTGTATTCCAAAACAGTTCCAGAAGGTCAAACCTATATGTGTTGACTCCGATCCACTGAACACATAACATCTCTGTAACTTATTTTTCCTATGAGGATGATGTGTTGGATTTCATTCCAGGACCGTATGCCCCTGTCAATTTGACGGCTGTCACTAGGAGTGGTCGTGTGATCGAGGTAACCTGGCAACGACCTGTAGATGGAATGGTGGAGAACTATTTGGTTAAAGCAAAGTCCACCCTTTTGGATAGTGTGTCTCCAGCACCTGTCACCGTGGCCACACCAGGGTACACCTTTACCAAGTTACATCCAGGGGAGACATACGACATCACAGTTACCTCTCTCAGTGGCAATGTGTCCAGTGCAGAGGTCAAAGTTCAGGCGACCACATGTAGGACATTTTATGAAAATTAATTTTAATATTTCAACTTTGTTAATCCAGCTCTTGATGATAATCCTTACTTTGTGTTAAAGTATAATTGAAATATCTCATTTGCATGAATTTTAAGGGAGATAAATCTATGAATATTTGTTCAGAAAGTAATACTGTCAGTATTCCGTGCCAGTAGTCTGAACCCTTAGAAGGACAGCACTCTGGAAAAAGATATATATTTCTAACAGAAAAACTTAACATCACTTGTAAAATCTAATCAGCTGAAGCTTGCTTTACTACTGTTACAATATTTACAGTTTATGTGATTTTTTTACTTAATCTTTATCAATAGATCCAACTTCTGTTGCCGAGCTCTATGTAGACTTCGTGAGTACTTCTACTATCAACGTTTCCTGGCCGCGCCCAGACGGGTCAATGTTTGACATGTATGAACTCAGTATCTCACCCGCAGACACAACATCACCCGTCACCATATTAGAGTAAATATTTTATTTCTACAGAAAAAAGCATTTTTTTTACTTTTGCAGAGAACCAATATTTTAATTACATTACTTACTTGTCTCCAAAGCTTTGTTTTCAAGATACTCTATAGAGGAAGAGAATTACAATTTCTTTATCTGACTGTTACAGGGCTCAGGGACAACTCCACTACAGTTTTTATGGCCTGAATCCTGGCACATTGTACAACATCTCCATACAGACTTTCATCAACAATACCAGTAGTGATGAGGCAGAGGTCACAGTTATAACAGGTACGAATTATGTCTGTATACTATACAGGACTATTCCAGGGAGATTGTGATTGACTGGGAGTGTTCGTGTTTTTGTTTAATCCCTTCTCAATTTTTCTCTAATTGATAAATAAATATAACATTTATCGGATATTTCTGAAAGATAAACACTTTCACGTTTTTGTTTTTTTTTTTTTTTTTCATTTTTCTATATCATTTTTGTATTTGTACTATTGTCTTCATACTATTAGATGGAATCTATATTTTACCTTTTTTGTTTGTGGAATACAAAATCTTTAATTACTGACAGAACCTGAAGTTACACAGGACTGTCAGGTAGCAAAACTACAGGGAAATTAAAATGATTATTTTCACCAATTTCTAGTCAATCACAAATTTTTATGTAGAGACTTAACTCTTTGATGGGCTGATGAAGGGAATAGCATTACCTTAGCTGCTGTTATATTTATAATAGATAATTTACTTGTATTTGTTCTAGATCCCTTGCCAGTGGAGTTTCTCAATGTATCCTCCCATGCCTCAAGTAGTCTTTATGCTCAATGGCAGGTCCTCAATACACATCAACAGTCCTATTTCGAGGTAAGTCCTTAAACCTATCTGTGCACCCAGTTTCAGGTCACTTATACAAATCATCAGTCCTTGGAGGTTTTGAATCTATCTGTTTACCAGAGGCAGGTCCCTGGCACAGTTCTGTCTCAAGGGTAATAAAGTCCTAGAGATTGTTTCAACATGCTGTTACAAGTTTCCAATTTACTCAATTGTTGTTTGCATAAAGCATACCTCACCATTCACTTGATATTTTTGTCATACAGGTTGAACACCAGACCATTCACCTGGTACTTTTGTTGTAAAGGTTGTACACCAGACCATTCACCTGGTACTTTTGTTGTAAAAGTTGTACACCAGACCATTCACCTGGTACTTTTGTTGTAAAAGTTGTACACTAGACCATTCACCTGGTACTTTTGTTGTATATTAGGTTGTACACCAGACCATTCACCTGGTATTTTTGTTGTATATTAGGTTGTACACCAGACCATTCACCTGGTACTTTTGTTGTATAATAGGTTGTACACCAGACCATTCACCTGGTATTTTTGTTGTATATTAGGTTGTACACCAGACCATTCACCTGGTATTTTTGTTGTAAAGGTTGTACACCAGACCATTCACCTGGTACTTTTGTTTTGTAGGTGGTATATCAGACAATATACCAGATGGAGAATACCTCAGTACCACAAATCCCAGTTGTGGAGGGACAGTTGGGCTACAGTGAGACTCTTTATAACTTATCTGCAGGACATATGTACCAAGTGTTTGTCCGTTCTGTTAAAACCATCGGAAACTTGTCATCCTATAGTGCCTGGGAGTCTGCATCTAAAACCACAAGTAAGTCCACATCAGCCTTAAAAGTAAAAATTGCTTCATAAGTTATTCCTAAAATTGTAAACAATAGAGTTGCTGTTGTTTATATGGTTTATTTCTGTTGTAATTTGAATATGCTCCATGATAGTAATGAAGTTCCACTATACAATATGTATACCAAAATGAACACCAATTCTATAATTAGATCCTGTTTTTGACATTTTTTGTCTTTGTAACTGTTACAGAACCCAAGCCTGTCCTGAATGTCACGGCTGTATTGATTGGTCGGAATGTAATCCTCAGGTGGACACCTGACCCAGACAGTACTCAGGATCACTACTACGTTTTGTACAGGGGTACAATAGCAGGTGTAAATCCAAGCTGGGAGCAGACACTGTCCAATACTACAGAACTCTTGTTGACTGGACTGTTCCCAGGGGAACACTATGATCTACTAGTCATTGCTGGCAGCTATGGAGAAATGAGTCCTCATAGAAATGTCTCCGTGCAGATTCGTAAGTATCAAATATATTTCTGGTGTAGTATGCCACTTATCCATCCACTAACGCTGAATTATAAATACATTTGTTCAACTATTGACTAAGAATGAATGATGACATTTATTCAATTATTTTTTCATAGCTCCTTTGGCACCCACTGACCTCCTGATCAACTCCTCCCTAACAACAGAGAGTACCCTGTCACTCTTCTGGACCTATAATAGAAGTACTACCTTTATTGAGCAGTACAAACTTGACTACCAGAGCTATCGTTCCAGTTTTGTTCAAACAATGACCATCCCTCAGCCAAATGACACAGTAGAGAGCCTAGACCTTGTCCTGGGAAATTTGACTTCTGGGGAAACTTACAAGGTCACATTTATAAGTAGTACCAATGATGCCTACTCTGAAGAGGTCTATAGGAATGCTACACTAAGTAAGTGTTTCTTCTTAAATGCTTCTCCCATTAAGCGTTACTTCTGAAATACTGCTCTCAGAGAGTGTAATTTCTGAAATACTACTCTCAGAAAGTGTAATTTCTGAAATGCTACTCTCAGAAAGTGTAACTTCTGAAATGCTGCTCTCAGAAAGTGTAACTTCTGAAATGCTGCTCTCAGAAAGTGTAACTTCTGAAATGCTACTCTCAGAAAGTGTAACTTCTAAAAAATTTCTTTCAATTAGTAAGTGCTGTTCACAGTAACCAAACTTAGGAACTCAATAAATGTTACTTGATTTAGATACCTCAAACACATCAAGTGTAACTCAGGTTTTCTCCTAAAACACCTGGAGGATTTTAAATTAACACAGTAAAAAAATATTGTCATTTGATTGTTGTTTCTTTGAGAAGTCATTTCATAGTTTCATTTTTGTTTCAACAGAACCTGAATGTTTGACCATACTCTCAGAAGGAGCAAATGCAACTGATACCATTACTGTCCTGTACACAAACACTTCCAACTACTTTGACCATTATGTTTTCTACCTGACCAATGGGAGTGAGTGGCCAGCCATACAAAAGGACAGACTGGACACCGATAGAATTGTGGCATTTTCTGGTTTGTTAGGAGGAACAGTTTACGGTGTAAAGGTTGTCAGTGTGGCAGAAGATCAGACCAGTGATCCACAATACGTCTATATACAAACAGGTACAGTCTGGGTCAGACAACTAACCCACAATACATCTATATACAAACAGGTACAGTCTGGGTCAGACAACTAACCCACAATACATCTATATACAAACAGGTACAGTCTGGGTCAGAAAACTTACCCACAATACATCTATATACAAACAGGTACAGTCTCAGTCAGAAAACCAACCCACAATACATCTATATACAACAGGTACAGTCTGGGTCAGACAACCAACCCAAAATACATCTATATACAACAGGTACAGTCTGGGTCAGACAACCAACCCACAATACATCTATATACAACAGGTACAGTCTGGGTCAGAAAACCAACCCACAATACATCTATATACAACAGGTACAGTCTGGGTCAGACAACCAAACTGTTGTATGACAGAGCGTATCATATAGTATGATTTTATGTACCTGGTGTTTATATTTATTTTTTTGTCTTTCCTCAGTACCAAACCAGCCTCACGTTACGCAGCTCACCACATCATCAGAAATAACTCTCACAATCCACAAGCCTGAAGGTCATGTTGATAGTTTCATGGTGGTGTGTTTCCGTGACAAATACCCATGCGGAATTCACAGTCTGGCTGTGACAGCAGATCAACACTCAGTCACATTTGATAACTTATTACCCTTTACGTTGTATAACTTCCAAGTGGTGGCCATTGCAGGGATCAAACAGAATTCTGTATTCCCGAGGATCACAACCAACCAAGCTGGTAGGTGGAGTAGTTTCTATATAGATGTATACTTGGTGGTCAGATGGAATTGTAGTTGAAGTAGAAAGTAGTAGTCATGATATAATATGTTAAATAGTTTGGGCTGATGATATGTGTATAATAGGAATCAGTACACAGGTTTAATGTGTAAGGGAGATAACTCAACAGATAATAGGTATGAATGACTTGGTAGCCTGATTAAATGTAAACATAAAGCTTAGATATTTTGATGATTTATGCATGAAGTCTATCCATGGATATGTGTGGATTAGCATTATAGACTGAGGGAAACTAAACTCCTACAAAAAATTGAATCAATAAGAATTAAATCAATTTATTGACCTTGGGGACTAATAAGACACATTCTGTGTCAAGTGTCAAAAAACATTTTATTCATAAAATAGTTTTGATCTGCATGAAAAGTTGTATTTGTCAGCAATTTAAATCCCTATGTAAAATTCTGTCAATGATTAAGACAAATGTTATCCATGTCATGTAGATATTGCTCAATGGAATGTCCACACTTCCATTGTCTTAAAATAATCACTTTTCATTAATTTGATATTTTAGAGATATATGTTATATAGTGATGCCTGTTATTAATATTGGATTTCCATTTCAAATTTTATGAATTCTTACATTAAATATAACTGGTATCTGCTAACAATGAATAACACACAGCATGTAGCCATCATATCCAAATTGACCTTGACATCTAAAGGTCAGCTGTACTTTTCAGATTTGTATGGTTTATGTAATGGTAAGTGTGTAAAGGCATGCAGATGCTCTGTATGTGTTAGAATTATGAAAACTAAGGTTAAAGTGGGTTCAAGGTTTTTATGCAATCATAAGCTTGTGAATGTTAAATTGTAAGCCTTAATATGATCATAACATTTAATATCCACAGTATCAGGTGGAAAATCTAAAACAAAACCATTACCTTACTTACAACCTAAAATAGACTGATCTTGTTTGCTGAATGACTGTATTGGCTGTCACTGGAAGTATAGGCAGCATGTGAAACTACTTTTATAAATGAAATGGACATGACAGAGTTAAAGTGGTTGAATGTCTCCAAAGTACTTGTAGACATGCAGGTACTGTTGTACGGTTAAACTTTTCCTGCCAAAGAACAGTGCAGGTTTTTATTCTTTCATTTCATTCTGGTTTTGAAAATTGTCAGAATAAGTTTAAAACAAAATTATTAAATTAAATTAAGGAAAAAGAAAACTTTGAATTGGGTGGTGTAATTAATTTAGTTACCAGATTTAAAGGAAAATTCCTATGTTGTTTCAGCTCCTTCCCAAGTCCAGGACCTGAAGGCAGTGGAGCTGTCCCCTTTGACGGTCAATCTGACCTGGCGTCCTCCTTTAGTACCTAATGGCATTATCACAGCCTATTTGGTGACTTACTCCAGCCAGGTGAGTGGTTTATATCAAACTGTTTTTAATTTGCCTTGTTGTGTCAAGCTATTTGTTTATTAGATAACTGTAAAGAAAAGATTTGAATTTGAAAAAAAATGTAATTAAAAAAATATGTAGCTATTTAACTACTTAGAGCTGTTTTAGTGAAACATTGATCCCAACTGGACTCCAGGTTTTGTTTAGGGGTTCACCTACAGAATCAATCAATGGTTTGCTGTGAAATAATAGACAGCAAACCTAACAATGGTTAGAATTGCCTTACTTTGGATTCCTGGGGTCAAGTAGATGTTTTACTGGAACAATCTTGGCAATTATTAACATCCTCAATACATACTGAATGCAAAAATGTAAGGAAATTTTCCTAAAAAAGCTTGTGCTTAAAATCAAACCCAAAATTTGGTTTTTAGATGAGACAGTTATGTACTTAAACTGTTTGATATAAAGTGGTGACATAATAGACATCTGTTCTAACAACTTGATAAGACACCTTCTAACTTGGTGTTGTAGGTGTATGCTAAGACCTAATTTTCCTAAAAAAGCTTGTGCTTAAAATCAAACCCAAAATTTCATATTTTTTTGTACCCCCTAGAGTGCTTACATCTGTGTGTATTTGTGATAACCTTGTGTAGAAGAAATCTCGGAGGGTCACTCTTGACTGTTTTTATCCAGGGATAGGGTGTATATATTGAAGACTTTTAGAGTTCTTTTTGAAACTAATACTGTACACCTAATTACAGGTTGGCGGCACTGTTGGTAGTAGAAACCTGACCCTGGCAGGCAGTGTGCAGTACCAGAGTGTGTACAACATGAACTTCACTAATCTCCAGGCTGGTCACACCTACACCTTCACAGTCAGTTGATCATATGTATCTTACACTGAAATATGTAACAAACTTTCAAATGATAAATTTTATAAGGTCCAGAGAAGAAAATACTTTTCAAATGAAATATCTTTACAATTCTACATTACATTTTTTTTGAAATTATTTGTGTGAAATATCATGTTTAATATCTTCTGGAAAGTTTTTTCCATTTCATTGTATTTCCTGGTGTGATATAAATTGGTGTTTAGATTAGAAAGTTATATACTTAAACTGTTTGATATAAAGTGTTGACATTGAAAGTTCTCTGTTATAACAACTTAATATGACACCCTCTAACTTGGTGTTGTAGGTGTATGCTAAGACAGTGACTGTAGGAATGGCAGCAGTGTACAACATCACTCTACGAACTTATCGTAAGTTTCTTCTTTTTTCTTTATCATTAAGTTTTTTATGCACCCACCATTTAGTTTGGCAACCTTCTGAATCAATGTCATACCTTGAAAAACCTCAGGTCAGATTGGTTCATATTTAACTCATAATTTCTAAAGTTCCACACCTACATATTAAGACGGTCATCAGGCAAAGTTAAAGGGTCAAAGGTCGCACTTGGCATCTTCTGTAAATAAATTGATTAAACAATTATATTTAGCTATGTATATGGGGACAAAGGCCTGCATATCTGTTATTTTCATGTTCCAGTTACAGATAAGGTAGTAAGAGGCATTATATTTCACAACTAACAGAATCTACTACTGTAACTGTCATTTATCTCCAAGCTGACATGAGTGCAACCTGTCAAACTAACATCAGATTAATGATATGCGGAGAATCTGTCACTTGGTACCTGATAACAACTTGCCCTCTCATTTTGAAATGTGTTAATTAGATTAATTCCATTTGATTTCTCGAGCTTCTCACTTTTTCAAGAGAAGGTAGTGGTGGTGTTAACACGACCAAAATATCATAAGCAACATATTGTGATCCTTTACATTCCTGTACTGTTCCGTTGACTTTATAGTGTTGGTCAACTGAATCAATTCATCTCTTACCATGGTATGTTTGTCTGTAGTCAGTTGTATGTAGACGCTGCCAACTCAACATCTAACGGTGTTACTGATATACGTATCACCACAGTTACTGATAAAGATTTGATCTAATTTCTGTTACAGCTCCTCCAATTATAGATGCTGCCACCTCTACGCCTAAAGGTGTAACTGACAAAGGTATTGCCACAGTTACTCCAACAACACTAATTGTTCATTTTACAAATGCATTCTCAGTAAAATATGGGAATGTTGTGAATTACACCGTAATTGTTGCCACGGATACGACCGAACAGTACACCAACACCCATGCCACGCTCCCGGGTTGGAAGGCCGCCCAAGTGGACCCCAGTATAAAGGCTTACCAGGCCATTGCTAACTGTTCTTCTTTCTTTGAGGAGACTTCCACATGCAATGGAGTGTTTCGTCTACACAAACGTAGCGTCACTGTGGACTCTAAAGTGTTTGAGATTGGTACAGAGTCTGACTGTTATTCACGTTCATATTGTAATGGGCCGCTTAAACCACAGACCAAGTATTATGTCAAGTTGAGAGGTTACACATATGGTGGATATACAGATACAAACTACTCCAAACCATTCCTTACCAGTAAGTAAACACTCAAATCTCTACACATACACTGTGTTGTAACTGTATCTTCAACTCTCACTATATACTATTACTCTATAGTACTATATGTACTAGGATAGTTTATAAAAGTTGATCAAATTGTAGTATTTATATTGATGTATGTATAATAGGTATGTTAGGGAATAAGTGATGAAAGATAATATGTAAAATACAAGAAACATGTGTTTATGTGATTATCTGTAGAATATGTGATACTTTACACAGTATATATGGTGTTGTACACAGTATATATGGTGTTGTATACAGTATATATGGTGTTGTACACAGTATATAGGGTGTTGTACACAGAATATATGGTGTTGTACACAGTATACATGGTGTTGTACACTGTGTATATGGTGTTGTACACAGTATACATGGTGTTGTACACAGTATATATGGTGTTGTACACAGAATATATGGTTTGTACAGTATATATGGTGTTGTACAGTATATATGGTGTTGTACACAGTATATATGGTGTTGTACACAGTATATATGGTGTTGTACACAGAATATATGGTGTTGTTCACAGTATATATAGTGTTGTACACTGTGTATACAGTGTTGTACACAGTATATATGGTGTTGTACACTGTGTATATGGTGTTGTACACAGAATATATGGTGTTGTACACAGTATATAGGGTGTTGTACACAGTGTATAAAGTGTTGTACACAGTATTTATGGTGTTGTACACCGTATACATGGTGTTGTACACAGTATATATGGTGTTGTACACTGTGTATATGGTGTTGTACACAGTATATGTGGTGTTGTACACAGTATATATGGTGTTGTATACAGTATATGTGGTGTTGTACACAGTATATAGGGTGTTGTACACAGTGCATAAAGTGTTGTACACAGTATTTATGGTGTTGTACACAGTATACATGGTGTTTTACACTGTGTATATGGTGTTGTACACAGTATATATGGTGTTGTACACAGTATACATGGTGTTGTACACAGTATATATGGTTTGTACAGTATATATGGTGTTGTACAGTATATATGGTGTTGTACAGTATATATGGTGTTGTACACAGAATATATGGTGTTGTTTACAGTATATATAGTGTTGTACACTGTGTATACAGTGTTGTACACAGTATATATGGTGTTGTACACTGTGTATATGGTGTTGTACACAGAATATATGGTGTTGTACACAGTATATATGGTGTTGTACACAGTATATATGGTGTTGTATAGTATATATGGTGTTGTATACAATATATATGGCAATATACACAGTATATATGGTGTTGTATAGTATATATGGTGTTGTATACAGTATATATGGCATTATACACAGTATATATGGTGTTGTACAGTATATATGGTAGTGTACACAGTATATATAGTGTTGTACATAGTGTACACAATTATTGATGCAGAATTATGATCCCCATTATATCACATGGTATGGATGATATTGTAAAGGTCAGATATTACTTAATATGACCATGTAACAACACCAAATTTCTTTACGTCAATTATGTAAGAATGATGATAAATCCATTGTCAAAATTTTTGTTATCAAAGAACACTATTTCACCTGCAGGTCAAGTTGTGGAAGACAACAATGTAGGAGGAATTATTGGTGGGGTGGTGACTGCCATTCTGTTAGTCATCATCTTCATAATTCTCTTCATTGCCTTCCGACGAATGCGGGATCGACGCAGTAATATGTACAAAGAACGTAACTCACAAAGGCTAAGCATGACTCCTCGGTCATCTCTACGCAAAAGCAGAAAGAGGTTAGTCTTCTAGTCTTACCAATTAAAAAATTGTAGTATAAAAATCATAAAAATCTATTTCTGAAGAATATGTGATTTTGAGTAAAAAATATCATTCAAATTTTCTCCTACAGTCACCCTGTCAGTACCGCAGATTTCAGTAATCATATCATATCCATGTCAGCAGACTCCGATTTCAAGTATGCAGAACAGTTTGAGGTATGTATAAGTTTTACGTTACATGTAAACCCTTTTACAAACCATACACTTCTACTAGTGGTAATATACAGGTTATTTCCCCTTCCCCATAAGACAATTGATTGCTTGTTTGTTTATTTGTCTGCTGGGTCTGTTACCTAGTAAACAGCCAGGGTCATTTTGAGACGTGGGGTCTCCTTGTAGAAGGTGGCAACTGTTTCATTAAACAGGGCACCAGTCATATATTATCCACAGCATTAAGGTTAAAATGTGTTGCCCAAGGCCACAATCATGAACGCAGAGTCAGTCCATGATCTCGACCGCCTGACAAACATGAACAGAGCACAGTAGGGATTGAATCTAGAATCTTTAGTCAAGGTCACATTACTCTGATTCTTCATCAACTGATCTGAACGTAGTGGCCCCTTTTATCATTAATATCAATATTATATATGTATGGCCTCAAGAGGTCCTGGTTTGTTACAGACGTAGTATCAATTTATGTATGTATAACCTCAGGAGGTCATGGTGTGTTACAGACGTAGTATCAATTTTATGTATGTATGACCTCAGGAGGTCATGGTGTGTTACAGACATAGTATCAATTTTATGTATGTATGACCTCAGGAGGTCATGGTGTGTTACAGACGTAGTATCAATTTATGTATGTATGACCTCAGGAGGTCATGGTGTGTTACAGACGTAGTATCAATTTTATATATGTATGACCTCAGGAGGTCATGGCAAGTTACAGACATTCTGCTCTATAAACTTAGTGATCTGTTTTACTCACTATCCTTAGGACTTGAAAGAGATTGGCCGTGAACAGCCATGTTCTGCAGCAGAACTCCCAGAAAACAGAGGGAAGAACAGATTCACAAACATCCTGCCATATGACCACTCTCGTGTGAAGCTTCTACCCACTGATGACGAGGAAGGCTCTGACTACATCAACGCAAACTACATGCCTGTATGTAAAAGTCTTCTTTCTAATACCTTACAAAGGGTATTTTTTATACCTGTAGAGGAAAGCAATCACTTAACATTTCTATGTTGAAACAAGAAAATGTTTTATCAAATTTTGAAAGTTCTGATCAGCTGTATTATCTTCCTTCTGACTTAAGAAATACATACTGAAGATGGAGTTGATTCTGAATTTAGTTTAACTGTTGATCATTACCAAGGTATTCTTAATCAAGGACAATTTTCTGTATTGTTTTGTTGTTGGATTTTAGGGCTTCAACTCCAGACGTGAATATATTGTGACTCAGGGGGCGCTACCGTCTACCCGAGATGACTTCTGGAGGATGATATGGGAACAGAACTCACGCAATATTGTCATGCTCACAAAGTGTGTGGAGAAAGGAAGGGTAAGGATATATTGTGTTTTCATTTAAGTGTAATATTATATTGTTGTAATACACCTTAGTTTCTTTTACAATTTATCAATTGGACAACACATAAAATCCATCCTTTTTTTTCCAATTGTGCTTCAGCCATTTGTCTTTGTGCTGGACTGGTCATTGTTACAATTAATGCAGTCGAGATATTCATCAAGTGTCATTTGTCCTATGTTGGAAATCCGATTGATTTACATAGAATTGGAATTAGATGAACTGGTAGATGGATGGTATAAGGAGAACAGACAGCCTCAGCTGATAGCCAATGTGACAATCATTGTGACAATGATCAAGTGGCTCTTTTAGTCGTAGATAAGATAATACTTTTTGATTTTGCTGTAGATTTTCCCCTGATGACTTTGAAATTGAATTATAAAGGTTGGGCAAGATATCTGAACTGTTGTTTTGATGAATGTACTGATGTCCAGAAAGTCGACTAAATGTAAAGACTGATTCAAGGTTAATTCAGGCTGGACTTTGGTCATCAGTCAATTAATCAAAATATATCATAGATATAGATTGTAAATATTTCACACAACAAGACACTTATAAGGTTTTAAAAAAAATGGTGATATGTTATAATTGAGATGTAAACATTGTTCATATTTCATATTGATATAAGGTATTGGGTATTGACATTAGGTATTGATATTGGGATGACCTTGAACATTATTTATCTTCATGTTTTTTTTCCAGGAAAAGTGTGACCATTACTGGCCTCATGGCACAGATGCTATGTTTTATGGTGACCTCCAGGTGGCAGCACTAAATGAGACCAAATTTCCATCCTGGACTATCACAGAATTCCGGCTCTCTTTGGTCAGTACATATTTATCATTCAATTATTTGACCAATTTATGACTTTGTAAAACTTGATGTATAATGCCTTCATAGCCCTTCAAATATTGTATAAAATCTCTACATGACTAAAGACAGCCAGTATCCTTTAAACTCTAGGTCTGTCCATCCATCACACAGATTACTATCACATAAGCAGAAGTTGTACTGTAGGTCTGGAATTTTCAACAGGAAATATGGTGTTTATATTCCTTGGATATACTTTGAACAATTTAAAATATGGATTCATTCCACATCAGTCGTTAAAATTAAAGATTTTCAGTTGATGTTATTAAAAATATTGCTAAACGATGTTGAAAAGTTATGTTTGGCTTGACTTTATCAATATCGTCTGTCAGGTCTATACAACTGCACAGTCAAGTCGGTATAGCTAAATCATGTTTATATACATGTAATAAACAGTGATTGTTTACTTATTGTGTCTGGTTTTTCCGCTTCCAGGGAGACATATCCCGACAGATTCGTCACTTCCATTTCCTGGCTTGGCCTGATTTTGGTGTTCCAGACAAACCACAGACACTGATTCGGTTTGTGCGGACAGTGAGAGATAAATTGAACAGGGAATGTGGTCCTATAGTAGTTCATTGTAGGTCAGTATTTGTTGGGAATCTCTGTATACATACACACTTTACATATACACAAATTAGAAAACAAGAATACTAATCACAACATACCCACATGTTGCCAATAAGCAGGTATTGATTTTATTGACAACAAGTTAGTATGTTGTGATTGATATTCTTGTCTTATATACTTGTAACAGTTTGTGTTGAATGGCCCTGTGTACCTTCTGTTATCCATACTCACATTGAAGTGCCACACTTAATAACCACTTTGGATACCTGATGTTGGCTCTTTCCTTCAGAATTTGTTTCATTTTTGTTGTTGATGATATTAAGTCCATATAACTCTCTATACACAGATAAGTTGTAATATAATCAATGTTATATATGTTTATAAAAGTTTGAGTCCATGAAACAAATGGCCGACAGAAGACTGTAACATTCTGTTTAATTACGTTACACACATATAATGATTTATTCTGAAGTGATGTGAATGTTGATTGACTTATTGGAATTGTTTTGTTCAGTGCTGGAGTGGGGAGGTCAGGGACTTACATAGCATTGGATAGACTACTACAGAACATTAGCGAACATGGCGAAGTGGATATCTTCCAAACAGTCGCTGAGATGAGACGAGAACGTGTTTGGATGGTTCAGACAGAGGTAAGGGTTTTTAACTATCATTTTTATGTTATTTGAGACAAAATATCATGGTGAACTATTGTGATCATCTTTATCCGGTGTTGTGCATCTGTAAAAAAAACTTTACTGTAATTCTCATAGAAAAATTGCATTTTTGAGCATAATGTTGGTTATTTCCCACTGGAAATAACTTTGTAAGAATTATGAGTATAGGATGACAGTTTTGATGTTCTGCATGTATTGACACTGGTTTACTATATCAGGTGTCACAATTTCTGTTTCATGACACTTGATAACTATTATTTAACCTTAATATTCAATATTGAAGTCTTCTCATAATATTTGATGAATGTCAATTAAAATTTGTTTGTTAGTTATAAATTTACATAAGTTTGTTTTCATTGATATTCAGTTTAAATGCTTCATGTCTGTTTTAAATCATTTAACATACAGAATACTTAGTAGTAAGCGTCAATGCTTTCAGTAAAAGGGATTGGGAGATGAAACCTTGTAGTGATTTGACGTTATTTGATGACTTGAGAGCACATGTTATTTACAAATGTTTATCCAAAATCATAATCCTATTTTACTACAGCAACAGTACATCTGCATTCACCAGTGCATCCTCTGTGTTGTGGAGGGCCATGAGGACGAACATGTCTATGAAAATGCAGCATTCTCAAATGCAGGTTATGAAGGTAAGTCCTACATAATGGATTGATTGTGGCTTAATGGTGAATATACAGGATTGCTGGTGTTGTGAGTAATCAGTCAGTGTCAGTGGTTGCTATTCTTAAGATTGCTTCTGTTTGCTGTAATTCTGTCATAAAAGTCTGATATCCTTTCATTATGTAGTCTGAAAAGTTGATATAACGTACAAGATTTTGATTTCTAATCAATACACTAATCTATATAGCTGTTCATTATACTATATGTATTACATCGTATCTTCAGATAAAACCCGATAACGTTTAGCTGAACAGGCTTGTAATGTTAATGATTTATATATAATCCAACTGGTTTTAATCATTTCAACAGTCTCAACTGCATAATGGAAGGATTTCCTATAGTTTTGGTATGTATCTGTATGCTAGAGCTAGCTAACAGTCACAGGATATTTCACTCTATCAAATCAAGGTGTATTGAAATCAAGTTGACAGAATTTTACATTTCAGACTTTCTGGTGTTATAGATGTACTGCTGGTCAGAGTGATTCTGTGGTACAGTTCCTTATCTAAAACCAGGGTTTAACTAGTGGTGTTACAGTATGCTCTGCCATGTAAAGCTTTTTACCATTAGGCCAGTGTCTGACATTTTAAGATCTCATAGGCCCAAGTTAAATAGTTGTTATGTTGACCAACTGATTAGGTAGTAATAGATGGTACTATATTGTATAAATACTGCCAATTCCTTCATACGTTGACCTTAAGATACATTTTCAAGTGACCTTCAAATGACTATATCCTGATCACATGTAGGTACTGCATAGTCAATGTCTCTGTTGGCATTGACCTTGATTTGACCTTATGTTGACCTTGTTGTATTTACCTCATTATGACCTTGTATTGTCTGCATTTGTGCGTAGCTGCATTTGTAATTGTAGATCATGCTTTACAGTATCCTATAATGGAAAGTCATTTATATTCTCTGTCATTTGGTCTGTCATCATATCAGTATCTCTTTATAATATGGATGTTTATACTTAGAAGTCTACCATTATGATCACAGTAATATGTGCTCCCAAGAAACAGTCTCAATTTTTTGAACTGTTAGTAAAAAATATGGTTTTATATTTCATACTTAATGCCTTAATAGCAAAGCAGCTATCAGAATAGAAGTTCTTATAACACAACCATTAGAAGATTACAATGTGATGTTTGGATGACTACACTGTCACCTTCATCTTTTAACAAAACCAGTAGAAGTTCAGAGTGTGGTGTTTCATTGACTACACGGTCACCTTCATCAGACAAACGACCAGTGTGGAGCGTACTAGCAGTTCCAAGAACAGCTATCAGAATTTAGTTTTTCTGTCAATTTTGTAGCCTTGCACAAATGCCGTTAATGAATTAGGATTCTGTGAAATATTTAAAAAACCAAGGCATTCTTGGCTTCAGCTTGTTATATGCATATTGGGCACACAAACCTTCAGTTGGATATTTATTTGAAATTTGATGGTTCAGTAAAATGTTCAAGGGTTATTATAGCTTCAAAATATGTTATGTATTACAACTGTATCTAGTAAATCTAAATTATAATGACCCTTCAGTACATACCACAATATACAGCTACATTGTCCTTTATTCAGTTGTGTTCTATGACCTGAAGTCACATTGAGATCTATATAAAGGAGATGAAATGGAGTCTAAGAGTAAAGTCATAATCATTTATTTACAAGGTATTTGTTATGTTGATACGATTCAGGTTACAAGGTTTTCAATTCATGAGAAGGTCTGCAAATTTAGGTCTTGGTTTTAGAAACTGTCATTTATTTCATGTGAGATGTATAAGGAACTACAAGGTAACAAGATCCTTGATATATCTTTTAGGTCTCATCTACTTAAGTAAATATACAGCTTTATGTGACAATCAGTCAACATTGTATCAGTAAAGATTTCCTGATCTTCCTCTGTCACTGCCATAATGATAAAGGCTAGTAAAGTGAAACAAATTTTGAACCACCTGTGGACAAAGGGCAAGCCTGTAAATATATGTTGACATGTATTCAGACTTCATGGCTGGCTGTAATCTCAGCTGCTGTCCTGCCTAGAAGGCCGAGTTATTTTAGCAGCCACCAGTAGGCAATAGTACTAGAGTTGTCACTCTATACTCCAATTTCAGAACAAGATTTGGTCACATGTCCAATGTAGAACACAATTCAGGAAAATTCAGCAGAAGACCAATATATTGGATACTAATGACAGGTTCTTGTAGTGTAGGTTACTTTGGACAAAGATAGATTGGCCTTGACTGGACACAGCAGTGAAGGTAGTTACCAGGACACTGGACAAAGTTAGATAGATTGGCCTTGACTGGACACAGCAGTGAAGGTAGTTACCAGGACACTGGACAAAGTTAGATAGATTGGCCTTGACTGGACACAGCAGTGAAGGTAGTCACCAGGACACTGGACAAAGTTAGATAGATTGGCCTTGACTGGACACAGCAGTGAAGGTAGTTACCAGGACACTGGAAAAAGTTAGATAGATTGGCCTTGACTGGACACAGCAGTGAAGGTATCACCAGGACATTGGACAAAGTTAGATAGATTGGCCTACACTCCCAGTGGAGATTTGTCTCCACTTCTTCATTAGCATCTATTTTCTATACTTAGCTGCAACATTTTATCCATACTGAGTGTCACCAAATAAGAAATTGATTAAACTGTCCATACACACTGATAAATTGTTGTAAAACAATCGCATTATCTTTATATTACGGCTTTGTGATTATTTTCTTATCAAAAACCTTGTGTTTGTGTCAGTATCTAAAATATCATGTGAAGGAACATTAGCCATTAGAATGTTTTAAGGTTTACTTGTCAAAAAAATTGATTTGTTGGGTATTATATACCAGGTATTAGCTAGCTCTCTGACAGGAAATGGAGCTAATTAGTATATCAGTGTGTGAGATTTGTCAGTTGTAAACTTTTTTCCAGCTTCTAAATATCAAAGAAAGATAAATTCACAGGTACAGTGTAGGATGAGTAGCATGGAGGGTTGAATGGATGTCTAAGTCTATCCAAAATAATGACCTTGACTTTTACATTTAAGGTCACGAAAGTGATATGTGTTGAAATACATTTATCATTCTTGAAGGTTGCATAAATAAATAGATAAATAAAAATCTATTGAAAAGAATTAAAATGTTGAATAATATGATTGATTCTCTGAGTGATTTTTTGAAATTAATTTGAGCAGGTACCTAATAACTTCGAGTTTGTTATCATTATTACACACTGTAAGTGATACAGGCCCATTAAGCCTCTTCATTTGTATAACTTAATAGTAGTGTCTTTTGTTGTAAATTTAATACTTTATTGATTTTCAATTCACTGCTCTTCTCCTCTAAGAGTAATTTCATTTTAAACTAAAAAGAGAAATAAATGACATTTAATTAACAATAGCAAAAATTTCAAATGTCTCATTACATTGTTGCGTACTGTAGTTTGTTGATTCAGATTCCAGGAGATACCTTCAGTTTGAATTGAGTTACCAGGATAGCTATCAGAATCAATAGCTCGTTTAGAGTTTTAAAGCTTCATTTGCACTCAACATTTAAAAAAGTTTTTTCTATTCAATTTAAATCCTTGAACCTGTGACAAAATTTAATTTATTTCTTCATCCAACATATTTCAAAATAACCGTTCCCTCCTTCAGCGGTGAGGTTTTCATATATAGGTACTACAGGATAAAGCATTGCTTTCTGATAAAGTTTCATGGTGAAGTTGTTTCTGACCCCTCAAAATAAGCACTTGATAATGAATTAGCCTAGCCTGGCTCTCTCAGTGAAGGATTTTAATCTACTGCTGTGTTCTGTAAAGGGTACTAGTACACTAGATTGATCCTGTCAGAATATTGACATAACGGTTACATTATGTTGTAACTTTGAAATTTTGATTTTAATTGCTACCTTTAATGGTTTTTGGAGGATATTTCCAAAGTGATTTGATTGTGCTACAATGGAATGAGTGGGAACAGTAATGATGTTAGGGATAGTCTATACAGATTTAACATAGAGGTCGTCATCTGATTGGCTATTTGTTTATATATGGTGCTTTTAAAAACAGTTTGGATTTTGATGTAACTCAGTTTGGATACACGTGCAAATATTTTTAGATTGAGTTTGATATCCTGAGGGGTATTTAGCTGCACCATTTTATGAGGATTTACTAGTCTGTGAAAGGAGTGGAACATTTTCCTGAATTCAAGAATTTATTTTAAGTTTATGAATCCCCAGTAGGTATGATTACCTGTTCAACAAACTATCAATTCTCTGACTTTTGGTAAATTGTATCCAGCCTAATTCTTTGATTCCAGCTCATGATAAAGGTGCGTTAACGTTTTTTGTATCATTCTTGTTTATTCTCTCTTTTTCATTATTTTTTGTACTAATCACTGACAACAGTTATGATGGCATGACGTTTGTTTTCTGTTTGTGAATTTTTTTTTTTTTTTTTTGGCTGCCATGAAAAACTTGCATCACTTGATACTTGTTTTTATTTTAAAGGAACTTTACATTTTGTTTTCCACTTGGGATTTGAACTTTTGCAAAATAAGTATGTTCCAATACTGAAAATATCTTTTGTAACAGGATAGGATATTTCATGACCTCAGGCTACTGTGAAATTATTCCAGAAGGAACTTAACATGGCCTTTAACATTGTCCAATATTCCCATCTGTATTTAGCTTCACTGATCTGTTTAGCATAATTGTATATTTTTCCAAATTAGATTCCAGCATAGTTCCATATTCACCCACAGCAGTCAGTATCATATTGTCCCTTGTACAATGTCTTTAGCAACATTGTCCAAATTCCTCCCTGACAGTGGTGTTTACTATCAGTGTCCTAACTCATCACTAAGGGGTCTTTACTATCAGTGTCCTAACTCATCACTCAGGGGTCTTTACTATCAGTGTCCTAACTCATCACTCAGGGGTCTTTACTATCAGTGTCCTAACTCATCACTCAGGGGTCTTTACTATCATTGTCCTAACTCATCACTCAGAGATCTTTACTGTCAGTGTCCTAACTCATTACTCAACGGTCTTTACTATCAGTGTCCTAACTCATCACTCAGGGGTCTTTATTATCAGTGTCCTAACTCATCACTCAGGGGTCTTTACTATCAGTGTCCTAACTCATCACTCAGGGGTCTTTTCTATCAGTGTCTAACTCATCACTCAGAGATCTTTACTGTCAGTGTCCTAACTCATCACTCAGGGGTCTTTACTATCAGTGTCCTAACTCATCACTCAGGGGTCTTTTCTATCAGTGTCCTAACTCATCACTCAGGGGTCTTTACTGTCAGTGTCCTAACTCATCACTCAGGGGTCTTTACTATCAGTGTCCTAACTCATCACTCAGGGGTCTTTACTATCAGTGTCCTAACTCATCACTCAGGGGTCTTTACTATCATTGTCCTAACTCATCACTCAGGGGTCTTTTCTATCAGTATCCTAACTCATTACTCAACGGTCTTTACTATCAGTGTCCTAACTCATCACTCAGGGGTCTTTATTATCAGTGTCCTAACTCATCACTCAGGGGTCTTTACTATCAGTATTCTAACTCATCACTAAGGGGTCTTTACTATCAGTGTCCTAACTCATCACTCAGGGGTCTTTACTATCATTGTCCTAACTCATCCCCAAGGAATCTTTACTATCAGTGTCCTAACTCATCACTCAGGGGTCTTTACTATCAGTGTCCTAACTCATCACTCAGGGGTCTTTACTATCATTGTCCTAACTCATCCCCAAGGAGTCTTTACTATCAGTGTCCTAACTTATCCCCCAGAGATCTTTACTGTCAGTGTCTTAACTCATTACTTAGCATTGCCCTATATTCCACATCATGGACCTGTTTCGACATTATATATCTCACAGGTGCCTGTATCATTCTCTTACCCTCTGTAGGGGATCTGTACCATCACCCTATATTCTACAGCATAGAGGCTTGAAGCATGGGTTTTTATGAATAGGGGCATGTAATGGAGCTTGGGTGTAAATATATTTTGATAATTATCATTGCTTGTTTTTAGGAATACAACAACACCCCTCATACATTATCTTTTGCCTGTTAACTTTTTCTACAAAATGCTATTTTGGGATTTTGACCAAATTTGGTTAGAAGCATCATTAGGGGAAGGAGAAAATGTTTGGTAAAAATTGTGCGTCCACCCCCTACTCTCCCTAGGGCATGAGGGTTAGGCCTAAAGGGGAAATATGGCAAGTCATTTAAAATCCTACTTCCCCTGTAAGAATGATTGGATTTGTCCTAATTTGTTGATCGTGTTTGGGTGAAAGGGAATCAGTTTGATATTAATTGTGAATCTTGACCCCCTGGGACAGGGAGGGCGTTGCCTAATAGGGGAATGAGAGAGTATTTTCTTTAAAAGCCTACTCCTCCTGCAGTAATGACTGGATATATCCCAAATTTAGCCTGAAGTATTCTTGGGTGAAGCAGAATCAGCTGTTTATAACAATGGATTGTGGCCCCCTAACAAGTAGTCTCAGGAGCCTTAGGTGTGGGGTCCAAATTGGAAAACTGTCCTATAAGAATAAATGGATCTTGCCCAAATTTAGTATTCTTGGGTAAATGGGAATATCTTAAGTCTCTCATATTATCTTCAGTGAAGTTGTATATATATTCCCACTGGTGACCATTATATTCTCCAATCATAGGGATTGGAGGATAATGTTGTACTGTAGGTTGACTTTGTTATACAACAGATAAAACATTTGTACTTATTATAAGTCTGTGTATGATTAAGATCCCACTGTCAGTACTGACATATAAAACACAACCATGCATGTTCATTATCAAAAAGTCATGAAAGAATGAGATGATCCCGTTTTAAAACCTGATGATTTGGTTTGCATGAGTCTTAAAAATAAAATCTTAAACATTTTATTAACAATATATTTGCTAGATTAAAACTCCTTTGTTACAGTTTCAGTGAATCTTTATTGTCCCATATACTTTATTGATGTCACCATTTATCTGTCACAGCCTCGTGATCAGTATTTTGAACAAGAATGTGTATATTATTTTTTTCATTCTCTCCGCACTCACATGAAATAACCAAGTTCTTGTTACAACTGTTAGACACAGTATCAAAGGTTATTTATGAAGCCTTATAAGGAGCTTGAATCTTAATGTCTATTCTGAGGTTGTTTTTCCCATCCATTTATCTACATTGAATGTGAGTTTGGCAATTTTTTATTTTGTTAGTAATTTACCTGAAGCTGTTTAAAAAAGTGTGTGATTCACCAAGTCATGATAAACAGATACTATTATACATATGTAAGGCATGAGATTATTTTAAAAGGTTCCAGAATTTGATCATTTATTTTTTCTGTAATCTGACTATATTTTAAATAGATGATATGGCTACAGTTTTAGCTCACTTGGTCTGAAGGACTGGTTAGCTGTCATACTGTGACAACCGTCCTCTGTCCTCAGTCCATCAGCTTTTGTCCTAAGTGGAACCAGTTTTGCATAAGTGTTGAGTCTCCACCCTCCTTTGGCCTGAATGGCAGGAAGAAAATGGGGAAATTTAACCAATTCATAAGTCTCCTTCTTTGTTTCTAGGAATGACAGAATTTTGTTCAAACTTGGTTTGATTCTATAGTGAAGGGTACACAATTTTGTGTTAATGCTGTGTCTCATGCTCCTGAGGCAGGGGAATAGGCTCCTTAGGCCAGGGGGATATGGCTCTTAAGGACTGAGGGACATTGCTCTTGAGGCCTGGGGACATGGCTCCTGAGGCCAGGGGGACATGGCTCCTGAGACCTGAGGGACATGGCTCCTGAGGCCTGAGGGACATGACTGCTGAGGCCTGGGGACATGGCTCCTGAGACCTGAGGAACATGGCTCCTGAGGCCTGAGGGACATGACTGCTGAGGCCTGGGGACATGGCTCCTGAGGCCTGAGGGACATGGCTCCTTAGGCCAGGGGGATATGGCTCTTAAGGACTGAGGGACATTGCTCTTGAGGCCTGGGGACATGGCTCCTGAGGCCTGGGGACTATAGAGGAGATGGATATAATCTTTAAAGTCTGTCTTCTTTTGAAATGAAATTGTATTATTATACAGTATGTTCGACTAGATTTTCTTTCAAATATCCTTTGGGGAATTAAATCAGGGGTCTTGTAGAGAGGCAGACCCCGATGTAGGAAGATAGGTAAAAGATTAAAATTATCGTTTCTTTTGCTTAGATTAATTATTCATCAAAGTTCAGTTCAAAGTTTTAATTAACTCCTTATCTATTGGGAAAATGTGACAATAATTGTGAAGGAAAATGCGTTACAGTGAAAGCTGAATACCATTGTGTGCAATACAGGCCCCAGGAGCCTCTTGTAATACAGATAATTTGGCACCATTTTAGATACAGCTCACTGCTTCTCAAGCATGTGTTCTGTTCTTTGTTCTGATAGTATCTGCCTACACTGATGTCAGGTTAGTTGGACAAGCTATATGATTGTGTTGTGGGATAAACACAGGATGGATGGAAGGAAAACTGTTCACAATTAGAGGGACAAATACTAATTGTTTGGTGAGACAAACATAGGGTATTTAGTGGCAGAAACACTGGATGTTTAGTGGTACAATCACTGAATGTTTATTGGAGAAAATGTTGCATGTTTAGTGGGACAAACTTTGGACGTTTAGTTGGGAAAATGTTGGATGTTTAGTGAAAAGAACACTCAAAGTTTGTAGGCCAAGTTTTGAATGTTTAGTGGGACAAATATTGGATAAGTGATAGGACGAAATCTTAATCAGAAATTGGATAAACTATATGGGTTGTCATTAGGGATGTTTCATGTTGGATTGTTTGTCTTGACAACTGGGAATTATTAATAGCTTGCATGCTTTAGAAAGACCTCACTGAAAATGATTTTTAATATGGAATAATTTGCAGTGATTACAGAAGCCACAACAAAATGGTGTAATTTGTTCAGACAAAAGAATTCTGCCTTTCAATGGGGAAGTTTACTGTTAATTACAGACTCTATAAACAGACCACACCTTGTAGATCCATGTCTATTAACAGGTAGTGTTAATTAGCTCTGTTTGAAGATACATGGCTTTCTTTATAAATAGTAGTTATTTATCTTTCTCTTGTGTTTTATCATTACAGATGATGAAGGCATCAATGTGGAAGTACAGTGATTCAGGCATCCATACCAGATCATATCAAGATTACAATCTGTTCTGAGGACAGGAAAACTAAAACAGTCACAGAAAAAAGACTGTTTGGCGAGATTGTATTATTGCAACATTTTTAAGAGATTTTTTTCTGTAATGTTGTTCATAATTTTTTATTTGATGTTTTAATCTAATGTACAGGTAGGTGATTAAACCAGTACTAATTAAGTCACTATAGGGATCACGCAAAAGTCTCTTTAATGTTGAGATTTATTTGTTGGATATTTTAGTGTTATATTAGAGAAGCTATTTGGCAATAAATATAGTGTAACTGTCTCACCAATTACTAGTGACCTCTTTAGGTCTTTCATTGTAAAAAATGAAAGGATGTACTTTTCTGCACGTATTGCCTTAAATTCATATATAAGTGCCTAATATTATTTGAGTAGTGCCTTGTTTCCAAAGTAATTGTGATCATACGACTAGCATCAAACATTTCCTACAGTGTTACTTTAGAAGCTGAGAATGTGTAATATGGGTTATTAAAACCAACTTTCTCACCTGGAAACAAAGTATTTTAACTACCCAGAATCACTCCAGATAAAAGTTCAATACATTTAATGTATACAGCATTGAAAGATAAATCACTTACTGAATGGGTAATCTCCTATTTAAACAAAAATTTATTTCTTCACATTTACCAAGAAGGAAGGGACATGTCACATTTACCACAAAGGAGGTAACATGTTACATTTACCATGGGTAGTAACATGTTTTACCAAGGGGAGGTAACCTTTCACACTTACCAATGGGAGATAACACGTTTCACCATGGGGATGTAAAAAATGATGTTCACTAATGGAGGTAATAATTATCATGTATATCAAGAAAGGTACAAAAGGGAGGATGCTGTACTCTCTAATATCATCACGTTTTTCTTAAAATGGAAATGTTTTGTGGAAATAATGCCATAGTTGGTCTAACTGCATCATATTTTCATTGAAACATAGACATAAATATATAAAAAAAAGTCAGAAAAATTTACATCACTATTCATTTATTTTAATTTGTTAATCAAGTTTATCCAGCGAAAAAAATTGATAATTGGTGCTCTTTCAAGATCTTGCAGTTGATTGCTTTCATGTGACACTCATGTGACACTCATGTGACTTACTGGGTATGTGCTTCTCACGCTTCATACATCAAGGTAGTAGTTTCAGACGTGATGTGTGGTGCTGGTTTTACAGCTGACAGCATATCACATAGCATTTTAAGACTTGTTAGCTATGTGTGGTACTGGTTATGTCACATTGTATAGGAAGACTTGTCAGTGAAATATGCTGCTGGCTTTACAGCCATATCACATTGTATCGACAGACTTGTCAGTGTTGAGTATTGCTAGCATCAGAACCATATCACATTGTATAGACAGACTTGTCAGTGGAATGTGCTGCTAGCATCAGAACCATATCACATTGTATCGACAGACTTGTCAGTGATGAGTACTGCTAGCTTCACAGCTATATCACATTGTATAGACAGACTTGTCAGCGAAATGTGCTGCTAGCTTTACAGCTTATATCACATCACATTACAATCTACATGTGGTGCTGGTTTTAAAGCTGGTACCATGTCATGTAACATTTTAAGACTTGTCAGTGATGTGTGGTGCTAGTGATGATAACACATCTTGATGCAGCTTTTGTATTGGCTGTGGTGTCATGTAGTAGTGTGTTCTTCTCACAAATTTTTAGTTTTGTGTTTAGTACTATATGCCAAATGCAAATTATTGTGCACAAACTACACATAATACATAGAACATATCTAAACACTACAAACGAGACATGGACATCATTAAGTTAATGTTCGTATGAGTTTTTGTTCTTCATATTTTCTGATATTTTGGTCAGTGATCAGTTTGTATTGATCATATTGGTGGGTTCTGAATTGGACCATCCATTTATTGTATACATTTGCTTTTCAAATACGTAAAATTGTATGAGGGAAATGAGAAATTATGTTTGGTATATAACATGATCTATTAATTGTTCTTTGTTCAGGTTTTTTTTCATGCCTACAACTGATAGAGTGATAGAAATGTGCCCACCTACAACATTTTACATAATCTTATCCGTCTCATAACCTTTGACATTCCCCTGACTGTCTGACCTTTGACATTCTCTTACTTTTCACACTTTTGACTTCATTGTAACTATCTGCATTGTCTTACTGATCTGCCTGACCTTTGACATTGTCTTACTGATCTGCCTGACCTTTGACATTGTCTTACTGATCTGCCTAACCTTTGACATTGTCTCCACTGATCTGCCTGACCTTTGACATTGTCATACTGATCTGCCTGACCTTTGACATTGTCTTACTGATCTGCCTGACCTTTGACATTGTCATACTGATCTGCCTGACCTTTGACATTGTCTCCACTGATCTGCATGACCTTTGACATTGTCTTACTGATCTGTCTGACCTTTGACATTGTCTTACTGATCTGTCTGACCTTTGACATTGTCTTACTGATCTGCCTGACCTTTGACATTGTCTCCACTGATCTTCCTGACCTTTGACATTGTCTTACTGATCTGCCTGACCTTTGATCTGCCTAACCTTTGACATTGTCTCCACTGATCTGCCTGACCTTTGACATTGTCATACTGATCTGCCTGACCTTTGACATTGTCTTACTGATGTGTCTGACCTTTGACATTGTCTCCACTGATCTGCATGACCTTTGACATTGTCTCCACTGATCTGCATGACCTTTGACATTGTCTTACTGATCTGTCTGACCTTTGACATTGTCTCAACTGATCTGCATGACCTTTGACATTGTCTCCACTGATCTGCATGACCTTTGACATTGTCTTACTGATCTGCATGACCTTTTAACATCATACAACAAAATTACATTGAATTCTGATAATGTTGATGTAAACCACCGTATTTATATACACATGATATACTTAATTTAGTAGATCTTCAGTATTAACAAACTTAAACAATGTGTTGTTTTATTGTTGGAATAGCAATCAAAACTGTGTTTCATAACGAAAAATTAACTGAATTACTGTGATATGATACACAAAACATGGATACCTCACTGGTGAAACTTGATATATAGATAAGATTTACTAAGTACGAACATTCTGAAGCTTGATATATAGATATACGTTATATTTTTGATACATTAATTATAACAATAACAGTTTATCTCATACAGCACTTCTAATCATTCAGCTAATTTGAGATTGTATTTAATTACCAAAACTGTTCACAACATCATTTTTCAATTAAATTCACTCTAATTACATATCAGTAGTAAACGAGAATTAGTGCTGAATAACACTGTCATTATATCATATAATTTCATTTGTTTTGATTCAATGGAAGTCAATGAATAAAAAAAAAAAGGTTTGAAAGAATAAAGACTGAAAGATAATGGTTTTACTGGAATAGATAAAATATATATGAAAAATCATTGAAAACTTGTCGCAGTGTAAATTTGTATATAAGACTGTGTAATATATGTAACATGTATTTCATTGAACATGGTTCACAGACTTACTTTGGTATATATTTATCTTGCCATTCCTATATTGTCGTTATTTTTGTAAAGCTATGTCTGTTATCACTAAGGTCAGTTTGATAAAGGTTGTATTTATCAGAGATTGAATTTAATTCAGTTTTACATACTGGAGTATTTTCTGTTGTAAACCTTAAGAAACAGAGTATATATAGAGATATTTTATATTCATATTTGCTGTATATATGTATACATATTGTAAATAAGATACCGTTATGCATTGTTTTGTCAGGTCAAGTATAACCAGTTTACATATTGTTATAGTGTTCGTCTGGTTGTATAGCACCAGAGGTATTGACTCAGTACTGGAACTCTTCATTCCCTGACTATCTCTCAGAAATATGAAATCTTTGGTGAGATAGTCAAATACTTCACTACAGTCTTCATTCTAGGATCATTACACTGTATCGGGTTTGTTTTTTAGAATGATTATAAGCCTTGCCACATTTAATTAATATTTCTTTAAAAACTGCATTCCTCTGTAGTGAAACAGTATAGATATTTTTACATTCCTTCTTGTCTCCTAAAAGGCCGAAATTCTGTAATAGAGGCATTAAAGGCATTCCTTTACAAACAGTATGATTTTCATAGAAACTGTTTACATGTACCTTGTTATCTACAATCTGCATTATATTTTTTCATCAAAATCTTCTTTCATGTGATAAGGTGTTATGATAAGTTGTAGTATGAGATTTACAATCATAAAAATTGATGTATTGAAGAGTTTAAAGAAACCATTAGATCTCACTGATTTAGGTCAGTAGTTATCTTACATTTGATCATCAGTTTCCCTATCTACCATTATTGTTCAGCAAATATCTGAAATACGTAGCTTGTTATTGAGGACTCTAAAGAATGGGTCAGGGTGTTTGATAATAAGGATTTTTTCTTTTAAATTGCCACATTGAATTGATATATCTGTTATAACAAGGTACACAGCTTCCTATATCTACGGGTTGAAGCGAGTATGGCCAAGTAATTAATAGTTGATATCCTCTGTACTTATTCACTGCAGAATTGAAATGTTTTTTAATTTGGCATTGAGAATTAATTTTCTGTTTTAACGACAGCTGGCTCTGTCTCTAGTTAGGACCTTACTTTGAGTTGATGTTTTTTCTATGATCTGTTCACTGTTCTTGGACCAGTATTTTTCTAAGGAAAAAAATTTCAATATTATGTTGTATATTTGTCATTTAAAAGATTTTTTCACAATTACATAAACGTTTGTAAAAAAAGTGAACATGATGGCTTTTATATCATATAAGCTATCCAAAGGGGCACATTTTGTCATACATAGTAATGCTTGAACTATAGTGCAATGTCATCCATTGTCTGCTTTTTAATATTGTAGAGCTATTGTGGGGCTTGTTAGGATCATTATCAGCTCATTGGTAGTTGTGTTAGTTTAAACGATTGGTGTGCCTTA